ATCTTTTGTGAACTTTTAAAAAAGAAAAAGAAAATTCTAACTAGGCATGTTTCAACCCCTTGGAGCAAATTAACGAGGCCATGCAAAACATAAATGTGTGTTTTGTTGTAGTAAACAGGAAGTAGAGTTAACAAGACAGCCCTGACCACAGATCAGAGTTTTATCTGGGTAAATGTGTTGTTAAGTGTTGTAATCGAGCAAGTTTTACCTTTTGTTTTAGCTATTATTAGTGATGGTTCATGCAATCCAGAGATTGCTAATTTGTTGACAATAATATATAGTGAGGAGGTCTTTTGAGATAACAGTACAGTAAGAAGAGTCAGTTATTTGTAGTTCATATCATAGCAATTTTCAGTAATATTATTGTAATTTGATATTTTCCTAATATTTTTCTACCTTATACATATTATCAAATAAAAAATGAATAAATAATATAGTAATTTTTTCCATTTCTATTGATGACAACAGGCTTGTATATTGGGGTTAGTTAATACAACCCTATAATTAATTCAGTTTCTACCTTATCTAGAATCTTTTTATTAGTCTCAGTTTGCCCCATTCAGCACTTCTACATACGGTAACACTTCTTTTTTGTTTATTTTAACCAAACCTAATCATGTTCCACACACATAAAGACACCGCACACAAAGGCTGTGTAAACTGCTGTCTGTATGTAAATATTGTCCTGTCTGAAGAGGAATATCAGGTTCTGACAGGGCAAAGTTTTGACTTGTTCTAAGTAGCACAGATTATGATTAATGTAGTACTTCTGCTACCACTGAAGTTAAGAAGATGGAATAAATCGGTTCTCTTAGAAGACAGTGAACTCGCAGTCACAAAATGTTGAGTTTATTTCAGCTTAAATCTTTTTTTTACCCATCCTTTGTTTACAGTAAACCAGCCTAGTCTTCTTAATTCTTAGCAGAGGTGAAAATTGAAGAAATTATTTATGAAATGGCTCCCACGGCTGACCTCATGAACATGCCAGGAAACCAGTGATTTCAGGTTTTGGGAGTTAAATGCTCACCCACACCCTTTTACATTCTTTGGGCCACCACCTCCTCCCCCTATTATTGCCAACATCCTGTCTTTATCAGCTCAGATTTCACCAGGGGGAACGTGTCTACGTCACTAACGCCCCACAACCCCCTCTCTTTCAATAACAGACTTTATTTTGTGTTCTTTCCTGTTTTTGTGTCATATTTAGAGCGTTTTTACTATATAGGGTCCTGTGTCACGCTAATTCCAGATGGATACTGTTGTTCCTATGAAAATAAAAACAAGAGTTTATTTAAAAGTTTTCCAAAAACATTGAAAAATATATTAACTCATCAATAGAGTTAATTGAGAGTTGCCCAGATTTTAAGATGCATTAAGTAATGGTTTTTTTTACAATCCCTTTCTGAGATCTGATACCTCTAGAGTATTAGACTGTGGTTCAATGGGTATTGTACATCGAACTCAACGCCATTCCTGACATTTTGAATTGAAAAAGCTTATTGGATGGGCAGCAAAATGTCTTAAAACTTGGAAACAATGTCCAGCGGATTTTTTTAAGTTTTCTTTTTTTGCACTGGATAGAGTAGCAAGTTATCTTTTCAATTCCAGCTTCCTTTTTTCATCCAGTATTAGAGTTGAGATGAATATTAAGAAAAAACTAATTCTAAAATCAAAGCAAGGCAGCAGAACTCCTTTTTGCTCATTTACTACAGATTTTTTTAGTGAGATAATTAAATAGTCAAATCCAAACAAAGCCTGTCAAAGATGAGTCTCATTTATGCGACTAAGAGAGGTTTAAAGACTGAGATCATTTAGCTGTTCAAATGTTTTCACTGTTGAATTATACATAATTTTGTAAATAAACAAACAAAAATAAAACAGATCACAATTCCATTATTAGAATGTGTGTTTGTTAAGGGGTTTTGATTTGCATGACTAGCGGGCTTTCAAAGAGAAAAGCAGTGTTATCATTACCATTAATGGTCTGTCGTCGCTCCACATGATACTGTTTGGCCAGTATGAAGCTGCTAATTGTTATGATTAAAGCGGCCTGTTTGCTCCAGTTGGATTTTTTAAAATTAAATTTGTTATTCTAATAGAACAAGGGTAACAAATTTAATCAATTCTGTTGCAATTTGCTTGATTCCCAAATAGAATCATTGACCTGATTTCTTGTTATTTTTGTAGTTCAATTATGAGCAACAGTGTGCCTGAATAACAAGAGGGCCAGAGGCAGTCTGAAATGTACATACTCTTATTTTTGGCTTTTATCTCTTATCAGTATTTCAGACTTTTATTTATTCATTTGAACCTTTCTTTTTCAAAAGTCAGAAATCCTTCATAAAAAGATTTTCTATAAACCCCTCTTTTAATTTGATGACCTCATTAAGCAGGTTACAGAGAAACCCCGGCAGACATCGTTTAGGACACCTGACCTCTGTTCTTGGCGTTTTTAAACTTTTTTCTTGGCATTTACTTTAGTTTTCAGCGCAGTCCATAAATGTTAAGGATAGTTTAGGCTATTTCCTTTCCGTGAACTCCAGCTTTATTTAATCAAGAAGCAGTTAATCTGTTTAGGATGATTAAGACCCACAGTATCAGGTTTGGACCATACAACTATCACTGTCCTGTGTAGGTTACCATTAATACGGACCTAAATCGCTCTGTGATGACCAAGAAAATATTGTTAAAAACATGACTGAAATTTCAAGCGATCCACATGAACAAGCCAATGAAACAGTTCTTAGACTGTGACTCAGACTTACACTTAGACTGAGGCTCTACTTTATTAAAGCCTTTGCATTACTCCTTCGGGGAAATTCTGGTTCCATGGGCTTATATATAGTACAACGGGCAAAGTTAAAGCAAGATGCAGTTAAAGATAAAAAAAAATACAACAGAAAATAGAAAAAGAGTGTATATAGTACAGAAGAGCATTGTCAGGATTTGGTTGTGGTTTGATGACCCAAATGCAGAGGCAGGGAGGCAGAGGTGAGTTTCTTGATGATTTAATAACATGGTAACAGACAACAGAGGCAGGAATCCAAAATCCAAAAAGTAAAACGTGAAAAAAAGTCAAACAAACCAGAAACCATGGAGACATCAGGGGAAAAAACTATCTCGACAAGGAAGACTCAGTGAGACGGAGTTGGAGGAAGTTAGACGAGGACCCAGCACTAAGGAACTGCACAAGGAGTTTATTTATGGGAGACTGAACAAAGAGAGGTCTAACGAGCAGATTGGGAGCAGCTGTGAACATAGCAGACTGGAAAGGAGCTAGGGAAAAAGGAGAACACTAGAGGGCACCAGAGGGCAACAAATAAAAACCTGAAAACCTAAAATATAACCAAACCAACCAAACCAGAAAACAAAAAGCAAAGTAAAAGTGAATACTCAAAAGAAAAGACAACAGAACCAAGACTGTGACAAGCATAAGAAAAGTTTAAATGTCCTGGAATATGTTTCCTTTAGATATAACAATATCTGCACAGGAAAGAGCTAAGAAAAGACTACACAGTAGTTGACTTGGATTATTGCACTTGAACTGCAGAGATGTGCTGACCATCTGGAGTTAGATGACACAAAGATTGAAAAGAAGTGTGCTTGGAGGACTTAAGGCGAGGCTTTCAAACCAAAAGGATAATCTAACTGTCAAGCAAGGTGATGGAACCATTATGCTATCAATATTTCTTAACCCTTGAGAATATTTATAAGCTATGATTTAAGGCAAGGTCCATGCAAGGAAACAAACCCATTACCTATACAATTTTTAATAGCAAGTATACAAAAATTCAGGTAGAATTGTATTAAAAATGTTTGTTTGTATGCAGTTTGCAAAGAAATGTCTTTCCTAATATAACTGTAGGTAGAGTTTGAGTCTGTATGTATAATTATGAACCAGTATATATTGAAAATTCTGGACCTTCTGTTTTTCCACCATCTGTTGATGTCTTTAAACAATCCAACAATAATCCATCTTAATAATGGGAGTATCTTTACTACTGACCTACATTGCAACCAGACACAGTCTGGAGAAACTAAGTGGATATCACCTGCACTTTGGTGTGAGGTGAATTCCTAAGCATTATAGTATATTTTAAACAAACAGAGCTCAAGTGTAACATTTAAAATGCACATTTGGATGTTAATGTATTGGTAATAGAGCTAACCAAAGTGATCAAAGTCCTGTTGCAAATATTTGCTTCAGCTATGTTTATCCGGCTCGCAAAGGGATATTTTATCATCCCATTGTTTATTTGCTCACATTTTGTAGAGATTTTACCTTTTTTAAAGCTTGTTCTGCTGGAATGTAAAAGATGTGTTTTAAATTTAACTAAACTATCTTTCTTCTGCACAGGCAAAGATACATTCCACAAATGTTTTAGCTGAAACATCCCCCTAGCCATTTCAATCATTTTTATCTTTATTACATTCTCTGGATCAGCGCCATGAAATAAACCCTTTCATCTTGATTTAAGATTAAGTTGTAAAACTGGTGCTAATATACTATTTTCTGCTCATTCCGCTCATAGCTGAGGTAACATAACAGACCAAAGCTGATTCATTTAAAAGGCCTTCCACCAACACCCCAATTTGGGGTTGTTTGGTGAATGTTTATGAACAATATTATGTCAAAAAAAAAGTTTTATGAGAAAATGCAAAAAAGAACAATCATTTAAAGCTTTTCATTGATGTTATATTTGAATGATAGAGAGACACCACTAATGGGGTTCAACAGAGAGCACACAGGGGTTTTCTATGTTTGACAGAATCCCTTTAAACCCAAACCTGTTTTTTCTGAACTGCTTCCAGGACAAGGTGCCATAATAACATATGAAACTATTAATTTTGGAATTTTGATTTAAAACTGTATAAATTGTAATTAGTAATTTAGTGCGGCAAAAATATATTATCCATAGCAAATATAATCACACAGCACATCTGAAGGCTGTATTACAAATAAGGATGATGTTATTAGTAATCGGCATGTCTGATCCATCTTTAAAATCATCTTTAAACTCAACCTTTCTAAATCCTTAATTTTTTTTTTTTTTTTTTTCGAGCTGTGTACAAGCAGATAGATTTGCCTCCAGCTGTCTATTCTGGAAAGTCCTCAGCTAAGGGCGTTTTAAAATCATTGCTAATAGGTTTTTATTGTCTGACCTCTGAGCAGCCACTCATCGAACAGAAATCGGTTTGGGAAATTGTATTTAGGCTATTAGTGTGTAATAGACATAATTTTATTTTGGATCAGTATATCTCAGACCAATCGACAGACAGACAGACAGACAGGTATGCACACATGCAGCAGACAAATCTGCAACAACTGCATTATAACTTTACTCCAATATGGACCAAAATTCATGAGGAAGTGTTCTTGCTTTCTAGCACTTTACAGGAGTCATTGCAGATAAAAATAAGTATTTCATGCATGAAATGAGTAATTGAGCTGAAATATCTCTCATGTTTCTATTGACATAAAAAATAATCGGCAAGCAACAACCAAGCGCATAATACATGCAAAAAAATAAAAATAAAATAACATTGTTACATAAATTATAGGTAAATATTATGTGCAGCACTTTGGAAAAGAGGAACCTTTTCAATGGCCACTAGTTAATATTAAAGCCACTGGTATTGATTTAGACAAAGCAACAACACTTTCTGAATGCTGGCAGATTTCAGCAGTTTTCTGCTCATCTTTATCTTCACAGTTTGTATAATTGTTCCCAGTGTCATTCACATTTCTTTTTCATAAAACATTAATAGTCTTAATTAGGGAAATTTTTGACCTTTTGTGTGAATCATCCAAAAAGGATCCATGTGTCTCATACTTGTTTTTAACCTACTGTGCATCACAAAGAGTTAAATCAGTCCTTAAGGCGAAGTTTGGTTCTACCTGGTACGACATACCTAATAAAGTCGCCCCTGAGTGTATATTCTATTTCATGATCCAATGCTTTCAGTAAACAGACCTTTGACATAAACAGATATAAGAGGCTTTCAGGAAGTCACTGCTACCAAGAAATATATTGCTTAGAAATTACCTCACACATGCTTTCTTGTAAAAAGGGGAGTTTTCATTTTCTTCGTACACACCGAGCAAAGATAAGAAAATCTGTTTGTCACTAAAAGGAAGAGGCTCTCATGAGTTTTTAGCTTTTGTGTAGGAGCAGAATAAATCTTCTCTATTTAATGTCCATGTTATCATCCCTCTAGTATATTTAAACAGGTTTAAAAGCATATTTACAGTATTCCAGGATCAGCTTGAGAATTAGAGGGAATGTGAAGTCAGGGTAAGACTCTGACAGGAGTTTATGTGTCTTTGTAATAAGAAAACCTTATAAGATACAAATATGAATAATAAAGATGTATAAAATTCTAAAAAAAAAAAAAGAAAAGGAAAGAATAATTTACAAAAAAATACAAAAAAGGGGAAAATTCATCACTGCAAAGTCCTCATATAAAGGTGTCAGAGCATTCTTCAGGAGTACAGGAGGAATTTCTGTAAAGCTTTTTGCAGCGGCTCCTTCTCCTCAGGCTTGCTATCAGGAATCATATCAGCACTCCTCTCCGCACTCAGCTGGATGCCTGGTCTCATCTCCTTACAGCTCTGCAGTCCCGCCTGAGTGATGTTTCTGCAGAAATCCACTCTTACCTCCTCCAGGCTGTCCCCATGCTCTGCCACAGCCTGCAGGCTGCGGTCTGTGATGCGGACGCAGTTTTCCAGGCGGAGGATGCGCAGCTTCTTGCAGCACTGCAGCACTGAGACCACGTCCTGGTCGGTGATGTGCGCACAGCCGGACAGTGTCAGGGCAAGAAGGTTTGGACACCTGCAGCACACACAGCAGACAGAGTATGACATACAAGACAAAATGGGAGTCTTATATTTCTAGTATTAACCTATTCCATTGTAAATAATGCTTATGCTTTTTAAGATCAATATTTCTATGGTGGGAAATAGTCACAGGAAACATTGGTATGCATAAATAGAAAATAAAAAGAAACCATGATGTTATGATAGGTTAATCCTGCCTCCATTCTATCCTTTTCTGTATGCTCTGTACCACTGAAGCTTTTGTGTTTCCACTCTCTAACTTATAAATACTCTACAGACCAGTTAGAGGAGGTTCATTGCGAGACAAAAAAGGAGCTTCTCTGCTCTACTTAAAAAAAAAAAACACTTTGAAATGGGGTATTAGTGCAGTGCAGCCCACTTGCAGGCCTTCTCCTCAGAGGATGTAGGCAGACACTCGGATCACGGGTGTCATTCATGTTTGCTGATTCAGATTACATAAAGACTTACATAATCCTACTGCTTTTCCTACATGTGAGCCAAACATATTCCAGCAGTGCGAGAGCGCTGCCCCAGTAACCTCTGGACATGCAGCAGCTTGGTCATGTGTCCGGCCAGGCCATTTAGAGGGACCTTTACCACTGTTTTGCATGCTATTGACATTGTGGAACATGAGCGGTGTGTGCAGTAGAGTCTTCTTGCATCTTTTAGATTCTTGTTTCCTCTCTAATGAAAAGGTGTTTCAGCAAAGACCATAAATGAATTTTATTATTTTATAACCCAAAAAAAATAAAAAAATAAGCTTTTGTTATATAACCAGCTGTCTTTTGACACTCCCAGTTTGTGTGGGTTAGTATCTAATCTACCAAACATCTCTCCATACAACATTTTGTCTTACCCAGATATATATCTACCCTCTAAAAGTAATAAACTTCTTGTCAAGTTCTATAATATTTTCTTGTAATTGAGAATTAGGTGGACAAAAAAAATTATGTTATTTTTTGACCATGCAGTTGCATTAAGTCACTGATTTACTCTTATATATGACTTATCCAGTGCAATAGAAAATGTTGATAAGTTAATACCAGAATTCTGAAGTAAAGAAAAGGTAAAAGGAATAAAGTAAAGGATTTGCTCGTTAAAAAAGATTTCAAGCTTTAAACATCACCTATAGATGGAGAGAAGACAGCAAAGCCACAAACCTACCAGGAAATGCCCTCCCTGAACTGACAATCCTGCAGGACAACATTATAGGAGAGGTTAACAGATCCTAGTTACTCTGGAGGAGCTGCAGAAAAGAACCTTAAAGGGGGACAACATAAAAGCAACGAAAAAGAGCCACAAGTGATAATATTTTAGGTTTGCAACATGTGGAAACAAGGATGTGTTTCTGTTAGAGGAGACCAGAGTCTATGACCTATAAAAAAATAAATAAAACTATGTGAGGAGGAACAATGGCAGCGGGTGTAAGGAAGAAGAAAAGGCAAAAACTATTTCTATAAATGTTGCGAATCATTGTACTTACTCTTCAGAAATATGCTCTACTTTTGTACTGACCGATCATACAGATTAGTCGATTTAGCAAAAAAAATAAAAAATATGGCTACCCTGCAAAGCCTGTCAATAGTGTTATAAAACCATTGGTCCATTAATGGGCTCATCTCATTTTTTTTAAACTTTCTTTTCTTCCCTTTTCAATGCAGGATTGTGATTATACAATAATTTCAATAGCAATGCAATAACATTAGTAGATAATTGAACTGAGGGCAATATAGGATAGGGGAGAATCATGAGTTTTAATTTATCTTTATAACAAACAATATTGATTGGTAAGTATATCATACATTGTTCTTCGCCTCTGTTAATACAAAAGACCCCATAATAGCTAAAGTTGTTCATATTTTACACTAAAAACCTTAGAAAAAAAAAATTCAACTCCATTATTAGCAGTTTAGCAGTGTCAGCGACATTTCCATCACCCGGTTTATGTTTTAGACATGATGCAGTCCTAATTAAAACAGAACAGCTTAGTGCACTGTCTGGTCCCTGTTAAACACCAACCTGTAATCATGTCTCTAATGAGCTCCGTGGTTTACTAAAAGCTGTTTCGCTGGTCAAAATCTCCCATGAGGCTGTCTAAGAAGGTAGATTAAAATTTATTGTCAATCATTATCGTCAGTATTTTAAATGAAAAGCTTCTCCCTTAAACAGGGTTTGGGGAATTTACAGCCTTTCAGATTTAGGTGGAAAATATGTGCGGCTAAACCTTTGTCTATACTGGCAGCAGGAAGTATAATTAACGTAGAAGAACAGGATGTGCTTCTTCTGATTTCATAAGAGTAAGCATCAATTTAACCAAAAGAAGACGATTAAAGTTTGGACTCTTGAAACTGAAAAGGTTTCAAAAGTACCACCTACTGTCAAATTTACTCTCCTTGGTGCACCAAACATGTATGCTCATGTTGTGTAATTAATACCACCCCTAAGGATAATAAGAAATAAATCCCTGATAAAAAGCTTTACTATATTCATCTGTTTAAATGGAGCGTTCAAAATGACAATTTAGAGAAGTCTTTAGACATACTGCTCTTTATTGGTTTTCCCAGAAAGATAAAGATAGACATAAATGTGGCGTCAGAGTTAAGAGGGCAGAGACAGACGCACATGTTCGTTCCTCAAACAGCGACAAAGAGCCAATTGTAGGCTCCACCTGCCTGCATTAATCTCCAGTTTGCAGCTGACTGGGAGCGTCTGTGTCCAAATCACTCCTTTATCACTCCCACAGTCTCTCCCACGGCCCTCCCTCTTTGTCACGTGCGCTCAGTTTCCTCTGCCTTTTCAGACTCTTTAGGAGGGTTTATCAGCATGTGGAGAGTATAGGCCTAAAAGGCACTGAAACTGAAGCCTCCGGTCAAAGGAGGTGGCTTTGAGTCATCTCACAGCTCTCGTGTCGTGCTTCTCAAATTTCACAATGTAAGACGCACAGCCTGCTCTCCCCCTTCTGTCCTGGCATGGCACAGTGGCCGAGCTCCGCTTACATCAGCAGTTATTACTGGCTGCCTTGAAGAAATTATCCAGAGACCCCATTACGCCTCTGTGGGCTGATTCCTGCGTGGGGCTGACCACAGACACAGGGCCAGGAGCCAACAGAGCTAAGTTTCAAAGACCTATCACATGCAAGTTTCACGTCACTCAGTAAATATAATAATACATGTGCCAACAGTCATGTTTGGTTTAGAATTAAGCTCATGTCCTACAGATGCTGTTTTTGTTGTTTCAAAAGGCAGTTTTGGGTACAGCATTTGTCTCTAAAGGTTAAGGTTCATTGTTTCCTCCAGCTAAGCATTGGGAGGTTTAACTGAAACCTGTTCTCACCTGCTTTATAAAGCTGCTGCAAGACCAACAGGTGAAAATAGGTGGAGTCTGAATTCAGATTTGAAGTTAACTTGATCAAGATTAACCCCCTTTTTTAAATTTTGCTTCAAGGGTTTGTGTGTTTCAATACCATTAAAAGAACAACCCTTTTCTTTATTTGGCATCTTTAATCTAATGTTTACGCAGCTAAAAAGCTGCTGATGTGATCAACCTGAACATAAAATATTGCGAAACTTGCTAATGATTTAAAGGATGTACTAAATGATAGGACATGATTCATACAGTAGGCTATAATATAAATAAATGTGTCAATATTGGGATTATTAGATGCGTAGGTGCTGAACTCTTGAGATAATCATGAAAAACAATTAATCTAAATTTATTTAGGATATATAATACTAAAAAATTTTAGTTTTTTTCAATACAATGATAAGTTTTATGTTAACAGATTATTTATTTTCACTGGTTGAATAATTTGTGCTGAATGTGCATTTGCTGCATTCCTATTTTATTTCTGCAAGCTAATACTGAAAGTAACAGTCAATCTTTCCAGTCTGATTGTCCTCAGTTTGCCCTAAAATGTCTTCTCTGCACCAAACTGTGAGACCAAATAGAGCAGACAGGGAACTTATGCTTGGCTGATATGAAAGATAAACATTTTATATGTGTGGTAACCGGAATCGCAGATCAGAGGGGATTCTGGCCTCACATAATCTTGGAAGGGATTTGTGTCATAGCTTGTTGTTACTTTTTATAAAGCAGAAGAAAAACACACACAAATACTCACATGTGGCACACATGGGCCAGGAAAGTGCTGACCAGGCTCTCATGTTTGCTGCAGATATCCTTCTGGAATGAACTCTTTAACCAGTCCTCAATGTTGCACACAAGTTGGACTCTGCTGGAATACCAGCATATAGTTAAGTAACGCAATGAGGGTCCAAGCACATAGTTGTCCCATCTGAGCTGACAAGGGGAGCTAAAGTGGAGTAGGTTCCACAGACAGGGGTCAAGGTAGACCTCCCGGAGCTGACGACAGGTAAGAGACAAACTTCTGCGGCTGTCCTTGTCCAGGAAGGAGAAAAGGTGGAGGAGACACTCACGGTTGAGCTGGGTAAGATGCATGGTGAACAGTCAGGAGATGTGTGGAGAGGCCTCGTCCCTGGGGCAGAGACAGACCTGCTGGTAGGCGCAACAATGAACCCACAGCCTGCTTTGTGTGGCCTAGATACATGATGCCCCCTCAGGCGCACGCTGGAGGGGCTGCACATATAAGGCGCGGAGGAGATGGCTATTTTGGGAAGACAACTGCGATACGTTCAAAGATGGAAGTGTTTGAGCCGTGCACTCCCTTCCCATCTGTCATGGCTCTCAACAGGCAGCGTGGCCTGGACTGGACCAGATGTTTACATTGTCCTGGCCTACTTCACAGAAACTTCAGAACTACACACCAACAGACACACAATGCCAAAGGCACAACTTCAACACTTACTGTAAAAAATGATCTTTACAAATAAATGTCCAATATTATGACTATGAGCTGAGTTAGATATTTTATGCTCTGATTTATCTTTGTTATAGTCATTTTTTTCCATGCAAAATAAAATTTGTGCAGTTTACCACCTGAAGATTATATGAATAAAGAGAAAACAAATCTGTTAATGTTTTCTGCCAATAGTGGCTTATTTTTTTCGACAGTAGGCTGAGGGGAAAGGGAGAGGGGGAGAGAGATGCGGAAAAGGACCACATGTCGGATTCGAACCTGAGTCGGCCGCATCGAGGACTAAGGCTTTCTTACATGGGTAATGCGCACTAACCACTGCGTCACCTGCACGCCCTTTCTACCTATAACTTTAAACAAAATGTCCACTTAAAATATACAAAAAAATTAAGACACACCTTACACTTTAAGTATTATTGTTTGCAGACGTATACAAAAGAAAACTTCAAGATAAAGAAGCCAATTGTAAAAAAATATGTCTTAATATTTGCTTCTGATTGCAAATAAATTTTTCCTTCTGTCTGTCTTTCTTTCTTTGTTTTTTTTTTATAAAAACCCCTAAAACTTTTATTCTAGTATGTTAATTCAGTGTGGGAAAATAATTTATATTACAACAAAACACAGGAGCCACCACTATAAAAACTTTTTTGTGTGTTTCTGCTATAGAGGAACCAATGTCTGCTTTGTTTAAATTAAAAAAGCTAGCTAATTGATATTAATATCTGTTAACTTAGTCTGGATACTGCACAAAAAAATATATATATTTCTTTAAAATAAGCAAGGGTCAAAACAAATAAAAACAAAAATATGTTTTATTGTAAAACCTTAAATTTGTACCTAATATACAAAAAAAAAAAAAAAAACACAAAACGTAAGCCTTGATATTGTGATAAAACTATATATAATATAACTTAAGTTATATATTATTTTAGGATTAAATGATTAAGAAAAAAGAAGGCCTGTCAACATTCCTTCAGTAACACTTGCTCTATCTAGCAGCATCTGATGAAGGCTGTGCACAAGTCTGCTTCTGAATTTGTCCTCTTGTTTTATCTTCATATTTATTGTGACATTAAAAGAAAAGCACGAAATCACAGCTAAAATACTTTGTGTTTAAGGTGTCAAATTATCTCAATTTTTTTGTTGTTGGGCAACTCAAAATCCTTTGACTCAAGACTTGTTTAGATCGTCATGTAAACATTTATAGGATTAACACAATATTTCAAATAAGTCAATCATAATTTATATAAATTCAGGGACTGCCAGTCATAATCTGGTTTTATCTCAAGAGAACTTTGCCTCCTTCAGATGAGGAGACCTTAAAATGATATCTCTCAAAAGGTAACACTTTGTAAATAAGAGAAATAAATCTGAAAAAAGTTAAATACAACCAAAGAAAACATAATCCAGTAATCTCTTATCTGATGGGGTGTCTTATGTTTTTTTAATCTAAAATGAGTAAACGCTGCTGATGCTGTTATGGAACATCGGGTCCAGTATGACTCTAAAGAAAAACATGTTTTCTTTTAAAAGAAGGTTGTGAAAGACTTGGAGATTAGACAAAAAAGGATCAAATGACAATGATCCCTATAATAATAATTAAAAAAAAATCTTCAGTGGCTCCATTGATTTACTCTTTTTTCCAGCAGTTACCACAGAGATGATAAAATATTGTTATTAGAGGAGTGAACAGGACTCACACCGGATGGTTTACACACATAAACTGCTCTAAGATTGCCACATTCAAGATAATCAGAAAGACAAATAACTTCCCTGCTATAAGCTCAACATGTGAGCTGGAGTCACAAGCACATGCAGTGCTACGTAGGACTTTGCCTAAGGCAACCTGCTAAACTGTGACTCAGTGTGTTTGCTCAACTGGAGCGCAGAGGATGTACTGATGCCAAAATACTATAAGCCTGCACATATGTCATCACACTACTTTCCAAGTATGTCCTGTTAAACTTGTTATAAGAAATCTGTTAGAGGAATAACAAACAAACCTAGACAATAAGAAGAACCACTGCTTCTTATAATTACATTATGTACAGTGTTCTAATGTTCCAAACGAGACCTGTGACACAACCACAGCAAAATAAGGTGAGCCAGTTATTAGTACACAGAGTTAATGGTCCACAGGAAAGAGAAGAAAACGCCTGCTTGTTTCATTAATGGAGGGGAGGGATGGAGAAGCGAGCTCGCAGCCACCTGTGAGAAAGCAACCAAGAGCAGCTGTTCCTCTGCATACAGGAGCGCTTGTTCCTGCCACAGTGAGAGGGTTTACTGGTTGGCACGTGTGCAGCAGGCAACTCTGGTGTATGTGTGCCACTGGGCGTGGGCCGAGGTTTTTTCAGGGACTAAAGAAGAGCAGTATAAAAAGCCGGGCACTAAATATGCTCCCGCTCCTCTAGAGTCTTCCACGTCAAGGGCTTATAAACATTCAAAGAAACAAAAGGAGCTGCAGGACCTTTGTAAAGGAGAAAATACAGAATCTATAGCATGATTTTACTGTAGTAAACATTTAGAGTAAAAGAAGAGGGCACTAACTTGTGTTTTGCTTCCCAAAACAACTGGTAGGTATTTACTTAATCTTTTGTTGGAATAGAAAATTGCTGAAAAGTTATTTTAGTTTAACAATTTATTTTTAAAAACTATGAGTAATAATTAGATGGGTATCAATTTCATAATTGAAATTTCATTTTTTTTTTTTGTCTTATTAATAACCGCAGTTTCTTACAAAACAGAATATTTTATCACATAAGACCAAAATAAATTGGAAACTATGGAACTGATCATGGGAGGGATGGCTGAGTTGACAGATGCCCAGAAGGCAACAACTGATACCTTTAATGAGGGTAAACAACAAAAAACAAGTTAACTTAAGGCCAAATCGTGAGGTCAATTGTGGTCTGCAAGGTCTGTAAGGTACGCCTCTTTCTAAAAGCTGAGTGTAACTGCGATAGGATATGGTACCTACTTAAGTAAAAACAAAAGAAAGATAATATAGTAATAATTGAACTTAATTGCTCTCACACTGGAGAACTTTACCTCTGCATTTAAACCAATTTCCTTGGAGAGAGCAGTAGACTGCCATTGTGTGGCACCCATGGAGCAGTGTGGGGTTAACAGTCTTGCTCAGGAACCCAGAGTGGAGGCTGTGGGGAATCGAACCTGGTACCTGCAACCTTATCAGCGCACTGCTCTAACCTACTAGGCCAGAAATCTGCTTCACAAGCCTTAAAACTTAAATAGCTAAGTAAATAGGCTAAAAAGACAATAAAAAAAAAAAAATTATAAGTTCACAAGTAAAAAAAATCAAGCTCCCTTATCAGTATTAATGTCCTACAGGTTCTTTTTTAATGAAAAAAGTCTGTTTTTCCCAAATCTCCTATAGAAACATTATGGATTTTTTTTTTTTTACATTAGGGCAAGTGATTTTTGCCACAAAAACACTTTGTTACAAAAGTAACAAAGTCTTGTTCTTATCCTCCAATAACACTCTTGACTTGTCAAAATATGTCACCGAGTGCCTTATGAGTTAAAAACACTGGTTTTACAGAGTGATGGATCAGCCATGTTAATGGAACATTTACGGGAAGGAAAAAAGGTGGTTAAACTAGTTGACATGCTAGAGAGAAAACTGCAGACTTTGGGAGTTAGAGTTGAAGATTAAGATTTGGAATGAGGTTGAAATCAGGGCTTTCAAAAGCTACTAGAACCAGAGACTCCGGGGGTTTCTTAACTTGAGAAATCCTTAAGTCCAAATTCGTCTTTCACTTTGAATTGAATTTAGTTTGAAGAAAGAGGCAGATAGTTTTATCAAGTCTAAATGTAGTGCTGCCTGTGCACTTCTTTATCTCTGCTCAAAGACATGGAGGTGCTGATTAGATTTTCCAGAAGGACTTAGTTGCTGCCCACACAGAACGGCCTCGTTTAAAAACCATGGAATCATGGTACTTTACTGACCTGCCACCTCACATCTAAACCTAAATTCTGTAATGGTATCAATTCAAAAGATGGAACGACTTAGAAGCTGAGCCTCACTGCTCAGCAGAGAAACAGGCAGATGGAAAGGTTCATGCGAAAAGGGCCTCGGCTAAGAATTACCAGCAGGATTTAATTATGCAGACCTGCTTTTGTTATAGGCTGATATTTTATCATTAGAAAACCTTTATTAGTTTTTACTATATTCCAATTTTCTGAGAAAGTTGAGTTGTGGGTTTTACTAAGTTAGCACCCAAGCTCGACAAACATGAAAGCAAAACCCTTAAAATATACCACTATGTGTAATCATTCTATACATGTTTGTGTAGATTGTAGCTAAATAACAGCCTCACAGAGCAGACAGGATTTCAGTACCCATGGAAAACATCACAACACCAATGTATGAGTGAAAGTTATCATTCAGTCATGGCAGCGCTGGACGATACATACTTTGCTGTGAATTTCATCAGGGTCCTGTGACTTGGTCATCGACGGCAACATAAACGTTAAATGATACTTCACCACCAATACTGACTAAACAGGATGATATGGGGGGGGGGGGGGTGGTAAAGAAGGAAATACAAACAAAAAGCCCAAATAAACACTCCAACATGATGCAGTATAAAGACTAAATATTCACTAAAAAACTGATAAACAGAGCTAGACGATTTAAAGTGTGGGAAAAAAGGCAAAATTATGAAACTTAAAGAAATATGACAAAACAGTCAAGTATATTCACAATTACAATGCGGGGATACAGTCTCAGTCTATTGAACTATGGACCGCCTGAGGTTTTCCAAAGTTCAAGCTTTACTTCATTATTAGAAACAATAACATACAGAAAAATCTGACAAAATACACCTAAAAATATATAAAAAGCAGCAAGTCATTATTTCAAACACATCAACACAAGAAACTCGTATGATCAATGGGGAAATGAACTAGATTAATAAAGAAGGGCTGTGACACGTTGAGGTGAAACCAAAAAGCTAATCTGAGGCAGTGAATTCAGGCGCAGCAGTGTGCATCGATTCCTCCGTCACAGTCTGCTCTGAGATCTCTTCGTCTGCTGCAGCCTCTGCTGACACCATTGTCGTCTTGTTTAAAGAGGCTATATTTACGCTAGCAACTCCTCCTTCTTTATCACCAGGGATGTCTGTTTGTTCGGCTGCACCATCCATCAAAACTATCTCTGCGTCTGCTGGAGCCTGGTCCTCCTGAGTAACTATTTCTGCTGAAACGCAGTCTGTGGCTGCCGTGTCTACTTCAGGCTGGATTGCGGACGTGCTGTCGGAGGGAATCTTGTCTAAAGCCACTTGACCAATCCTCTCAACATAAAAGAGAATGTAGGCCTTAGCTTTCTTCACCGTGTCCTCATTGGTCAGAGTCACTGTGCTGTCGTTGAAGTGGTACCAGCGGCCCTCATGGCTGCCATACGCCGTATAATGCCCCGATCCGACCCTGTGAACACAGACGCGTTTCACATTGTACCTTCTGGATTTTTAGAGATTCATCTGTTGCTGGTGGAGCAACAGGGACATGTCTGGCTTTAATGTACGACAGTGGCACAACACTGCCACTTAGAGGCCAAAACTGAGATGGCAGCAACTATATGAACACATTTTTAAAAACTTTAATGCTTTTTCTTTCAAACGTCAGCTGTCTACAAAACTCATTGCAAGTGTTCATCAATAAAATTTGGCAACTGAAATCTTTGCTTAATAATAATGAAGACCTGATAAAAAAAAAACGGACACCTGTCAAGCTTATTAGGCTGCAGATAAGCCTTTAAAATTAGCACACTGTAAGCAGGCATACGCTAACAAACAATGAATATCATTATACCCTTATCCCATGTCTATGTTAAACATAATGGCCTGCATAAGTCATGGAGTAAAGCTTGAATGATACAAAACCTTGACTCACCCAGACCCATGATGCACCACAACAGCAGCAAGGTCATACAAGCAGCTTCCTGGTAATGTGTTCTCTGGCTGCAGAGACATAAGGGAAAAGGGAAGCTTTAAACACAAAAAGTATATGCTTTCTATGAAAAAGAAAAAAAAAAAAAATCACTTTCTGTGATTTCTGTCCATCCCTCGGGTTTATTGACCAAGGGATCCGTGTAAAAGCAAAGGTTTGAACCAAAGTGTTTCTATTTTTGACCAGTCTTCCATAATTGCACTTGTCAGATCAGAAAACCCTTGGCTTGCATTTTTTGGTTTCAATTCAACAACAGGTTGATGGCAGGGAGTCCATGGCAGCGAATCAGGTTCTTCCATACCCAACCCACTCATGCATGTAAACGCCTGCTTCGTGCTATGTTGTGTTGCAAAAGGAAATGCATGGCGTAATTTTTCTGCCACTGACCGTGGCGCTCATCTACCAGTCTGAGCGCACAGTTAGAACAGTTGGTCAATGTTGGTCTAGAGGTTGAGATTCTGCACTCTCAATTCCTAGTCAGGGACGCTACCGTTTGGGGGAGTGGTGGCCAAGGAGGTTCTGAGGTCAAGCCTTACTTTCTCAGACGGCTACTCTGGTTCCCTGAGCAAGAACCTTAACCCAACACTGCTCCCCCCAGGCGCCATAAAACGGCAGCCCACTGCTCCCCAAGGGGATGGGTTAAATGCACAGAGTTCATTTTGTTGTTTTGTACTTGTGACAGCGTAATGAATAAAGTTAAATCCAATTCTATTCTAATGATGTGAAGCTTTTAAACTCACACACCTTCGCTCAAAACCTGTTTGCCACATGCTCAACTCTAAAAACGCGCACCCAATAACATTTCTGTGCACACTGGCCTTTGTCTACGAGCGTGCTTGGCTTCCCCTCTCCATGCGCTCGGCCTCATCCACACTTGCTCGCTCAGCTCCATCTCTGCACTTATGGCGTATGATGCCATATTTTTGTCCTATTTTCAGGATCTTTTCCTTCAAGCTCCTAAGATGATACACTTTCTTTGGTTTCTACCAAAGAAATGCCTATATTGTAAATTGAGGATTTTACTGCAATGTTCTTTTAAATGTATGGGCATGAAAGGGGACGTTTGTTGTCTTAATGCTACGTTCAGAAAGCACGTGCTAGCGGTAGCAGAAGCAGCTAGTTTATATGCAAAGTCAATGGTTGACGAGCATCAAGGCGCAGCAAAAGGTCCTGCAGCACGTTTCGAACAGCAGGATTTGTGCTGGTTGATGTGCTGCTCGACGCGACACATCAACCAATCAGAGGAGCTTATCTGGGTGCTGGCAGGGAGACAGACACAGCGCTGCTGATGCAGAGCGCTATGATCACTCCTCGGAAAAAGTTTATTAATCCCTAAGTTAACATAAAATTTCGAAACCATTATTCAGGTGCCTGCAGTTTGGATTGCATACGTGAAAAATGCCTTCCAGGCACCACAAGCAGTAGTGGAAAACTGCAAAGAGGCGACGGGGCCAGAGGCTGCCGCTGAACAGGATTTCCAGGGAGAGAGCTCTACCGTACATCCGGTCAGACAGCTGGTGTACGGGGGTCTGAGTGGCTCCGACAGCAAAATAATATTTGAAGGCAGGATTGTAATCTTGATAAACTGACTACACATATGAAGTTTTCAGGTAAACTTTCTTACTTAAAAACACATAAAAAATACTTTTTACCCACTCACAACAGCAAATATAGCAAAGCCGCTCTCAGCCACTAAACACAAGAGCAGCAGAAACATCCGACGCATCTGGACACACTTTACTGGATGTCTGACCTTAATGTGGACAAACATAAAAAATGAAGCAGCATATGCTTTTTGCTGCTTCCAGTGCTTAGGATGTGAATGTAGCATTATTCATTAAAATAAGCCTAGCGGCTCTCTCAATCTCATCCGCCGCTGTCACAGGCAAAGAAAGTTTAGGAAAGCTCTGCCCAACGTGCATCACACCCACTTTTCGACGAGCAGCTAAAGCAGCAAAGATGCTTCAGCTGCACGTCAGAACTAAACTTGTACTAGCATCAAAAATTAGGGAACGTAGCATAAGTTTATTTCTCCAGATTTCACCCGAGAAAAAGGCAATAACAATCTAAAAATGGGACAAAAGCAATTTTCTCAAGAAAAGTTAATTTTATTAATATATAATAGCACTGCTACTTTGCAGCAAGAAGGTTCTGGGTTCGATTCCTGGTCCGGGGTCTTTCTGCATGGAGTTTGCATGTTACGGTTTCCTCCCACAGTCCAAAAACATGACCTGTTAGGTTAATTGGCTTCTCTACAGTCCCCTTAGGTGTGTGTGTGAATGGTTGTTTGTCCTGTTTGTCTCTGTGTTGCCCTGTGATGAACTGGCGACCTGTCCAGGGTGTACCCCGCCTCTCGCCCATTGACTGCTGGAGATAGACACCAGCACCCCTCGCGACCCCAGTTGGGGTAAGCGTGCTATAAAATGGATGGATATATAAATATTACCGTTATACTCAGGCCTGTCTTTGATTGGCCAGTTGGTGCAGCACATTAACAAAACATTACAAGTGGTGAGCGCAGAAATGGAGCCAAGCGAGGAGAGCAGGGATCCGAGTGTGCACATGAAGTTGAGAAGGTAAATGTTTTTGAGTCTCAAACAATAAGCCTCTCTGGACCAATTTTTTTTTCACATGACTTTAATCGAGAATGCTCCATTCTGGTGGCAAATGCTAAACACATATTGGTCTACTGGATTGCAAAATAGAGACATGATCTGTCACTCCAGAGTTTATCTTCGCTGCTATAAAGCTCAGTAGCTGTAATCTTAACATCAGTTTCTTCAATTCCTTTTTATTGCACTTGATGACAAAGTTTGGATGCAACTTCTTGACTATGAGAACCCTTCGCTTAAAGTGCTCACTTATCTTAAGGTAATCTGATTGTAATTTTCCTCTGGGATTATTAAAGTATGTCTGATTCTGATTCTGAACATGAAGCTTGGAGATCTGAGGATATTGACCCTAAGAAACGTGGCCTTCTTGTCTTAGAAGCAGTGAATCTTTCAGTGATTGACACCAGCAGGGAGCACCAGTGGCGTATATTACCAGGCTGCAATTGCAGATGAAGTAGAGAGATGACTCCCACTTGATGCAGACAGCAGCAACAATGCAAATACCTTTTTAAATGTTTTTATGCCACATTTATTTTTGTTCAATTGTGATTATATTGTAAATGTAATTAATTGCCCTGTCATTTTTATTAGCATCTACTCATGGATATAAATTTATTAATAAATTAAAATCAAAACACTTTTTTGCTACTAAAATTCTAACGTGTTAACTGGCCTTACCTCCAGTAAGAAGCCTCTCATGTCCAGGCCTGTCAGTGGAAACTCCACATAAGTATCCACCTTGTTTCTCAGAAAGGCCGTCCAGTGGAACCGTTTGAGATGCAGGCACAGGACCTACATTTGAAAAATAAAACTTTATAGGCCACTGAAGCTTTGAAGAACAAGCATAAAAAAAAAAATATATTTGTTAATCTGAAAAATAAAAAATGTGGGCCTCACACCTTTGGCAGCTTCTGGATCCAGAACTTCTTAGTCGATTTCTGGCGTTTTTTACACTTGTGGCAATAATATAGCTCAGTTTCATCAAGCTCTTCGAGGTCAGTGAAGCTACGCAAGCAGTCTAAAACACATTTTTAATATTCACAGTTACAACATAACATTAATGAAAAGTAAAAAAAAAAAAGCTGTTATATTGACAGTACTAAACTTACCACGTAAAGTGCATGTAGGACCTGGCTCCTGGTCCTTACTTCTCTTTTGTCTAAACTGACTGGGGATGTCCAAAGACAGATCTAGAAGCAATAAGAATGGGAGGGAACAAAGTATTTTGTTAAAGGTTGTATCATACCTCATCTGTATCATCTCAACTCCACGTGAGGACAGAAAATAAACATAAATAGCTGTTTCATCCACAAAAAAAAAAGGTTACAAATAAAAGCTAATCTTACCAAGAAATGGGTCAAACTTTCGAGATTCTGTCCCACATATCAGGCAGTTGACTTCATTTTGAAGTATTCCACCGAAAATGGACGTGACAACACTGGAAGTCCCATTTCTACACAGGATCAGAAAAACATTGATATTAGTTACTAAGAAAAGGGATACTATTGATTTCTTTAGGGAAAATCCAAACAATGGCAGATTAAATCAGCCTTTTGGACATTTTTGTAGTTTAACACACATCTCTGCAGCTTCTCTACTGTTACCCACTCTTTACTCCATCCAGACAGTGTCTTGCCCACGACCAAAATCTAATAAATTAGCAAAGATTCCCAAAGGAGTAAATCATGATAATCTAATTAAAATCAAAATAACTCCAATTGGGGAAAAAGTTAAAACATTTAAATGCGGTCTGTTTAACATAAGATCGCTTTCCTCTAAAAGTCTACTAGTTAATGACTTGATTTGTGATAATCACATTGACTTGTTTTGCCTTACAGAAACCTGGCTGCAGCAAGAGGATTATGTGAGCATAAATGAGGCAACTCCTTCAAGCTATTTAAATTTTCACATCCCCAGAAGTTCTGGGCGAGGAGGAGGAGTAGCAACAATCTTCCAGTCTGACTTACTGATTACTCCCAAAACAATTAATACCTACAACTCTTTTGAACATTTAACCCTTAATTTCCCTGATCCAAATTTCAAGGCAAGAAAACCTCTTCTTTTTGTAACTTTGTATCGTCCACCAGGTCCTTACTCTGAATTTTTAGATGAGTTTTCAGAGTTCCTTTCTGATTTGGTATTAAATACTGACAGGGTCATCATAGTGGGAGATTTTAACATCCATGCTGACATTGAAGGCGATAGCTTAAGAGCAGCCTTTAATGCTATCTTAGACACTATTGGCTTTGTTCAAAATGTGAATAGTCCCACGCATTCTCATCTTCATACTCATCTTCATACTTTGGATCTTGTGCTGACATACGGCATAGAATGTGAAGAAATAACAGTATTTCCTCACAACCCTGTCCTCTCTGACCACTTTCTAATAACCTTCAGGATTACTCTAACAGAGTTCTCCTCCCCCAAAAGAAGGTTTTAGTAGAATTTAGTACAATTTTAGTAGATCTTTATAAATTTTAAAGAATCTGCTTCACTTTCTCTCTCCTCTGTGTCACTGAGCAGTGCTGCAGAGTGCAAAAGCTTAGCTTATTCCCCTTCACAGGTTGATGATTTTGTTGATGGGGTTGCTAGTTCTCTGCGTATTGCCTTAGACAACGCAGCTCCTTTGAAAATGAAAACCGTTAAAAATAGAAAGCTTGCTCCTTGGTTTAATGCAGAGCTGCGTACTTTGAAGCAAAATGCTAGGAAACTGGAGAGAAAATATCGCTCCACAGGCCTGCGAGAGTCCTTCCTAGTCTGGAAAAATGGTTTACTGCTGTATAAGAGGACCCTTTGTAAAGCAAGAGCAGCATACTTCTCCTCATTAATAGAGGAGAATAAGAATAATCCTAGATTTCTTTTTAATACAGTTGCCAAACTCACCCAGAGCCATAGCTCTGTTGAACCGTCCATTCCACCTGCTCTTAGCAGCAATGATTTTATGGGATTCTTTATAAATAAGATTGATCTTATTAAAAATAAGATCATAAGCACTCCTCTATCCGCGATTGTACCTGAGGTAGTCATGGAATCTGAACCGGGTTTAGACTGCTTTGATCCAGTTGAACTCTCTGAATTAGCAAAATTATTGTCTTCATCTAAGCCTTCAACTTGTATGTTAGATCCAGTTCCAACCAGGTTATTTAAGGAGGTATTCCCTTTGATCTCCTCCTCCATTTTAGATGTGATTAATCTATCTCTGTTACAGGGATATGTACCTAAAGCTTTTAAGGTTGCTGTAATTAAACCTCTGCTTAAGAAACCGTCTCTTGACCCAGATGACTTGGTCAATTATAGACCTATATCCAATCTTCCTTTCTTATCCAAAATTCTTGAGAAAGTAGTTGCCAAACAAGTTTGCGATCACTTCCACCATAATGAACTTTTTGAAGAGTTTCAGTCTGGCTTTAGAGCTCATCATAGCACTGAAACAGCTCTGGTGAAAGTCACTAATGATATTCTCATGGCCTCAGATAATGGACTTGTATCTGTGCTCGTCCTGTTGGATCTTAGTGCTGCATTTGATACAGTTGAACATAATATTCTTTTAGAAAGACTTGAATATTATGTTGGAATTAAAGGAACAGCACTAGACTGGTTTAAATCTTATCTATCTGATCGAATTCAGTTTGTTCATGTTAATGATAGATCTTCAACACGCTCAAAGGTTACCTGTGGAGTACCACAGGGATCAGTGCTAGGACCAATTCTCTTTACTTTATACATGCTCCCAATTGGTAGAATTATTAGACAGCATGGGATTAATTTCCACTGTTATGCTGATGATACCCAGCTATATCTGTCTATAAATCCAGATGAAGCTAACCCATTACATAGATTACAGGCATGTCTTGAAGACATAAAAACCTGGATGACTCTTAACTTTCTGCTCCTGAATGCAGAAAAAACAGAAGTTATAGTCTTTGGACCAGAGTCTCTGAAAAAGAAACTGATTAGCCAGTCACTTCATTTGGATGGGATTAAACTGATTTCAGATAATAAAGTAAAAAATCTTGGTGTTATTTTTGATCAGGACCTGTCATTTAAATCCCATATCAAAGAGGTTTCTAGAATTTCCTTCTTTCATCTGAGGAACATTACAAAAATTAGAAATATCCTGTCCAGGGGTGATGCTGAGAAACTAGTCCATGCATTTGTTACTTCAAGGCTGGACTATTGTAATTCTTTACTATCAGGAAGTCCACAAACTGTAGTTAAAAGCCTTCAGCTGATCCAAAATGCTGCAGCCAGAGTTCTGATGAAAATTAAAAAGAGAGATCATATCTCTCCTATCCTGGCTTCTCTTCATTGGCTTCCTGTTAAATCAAGAATAGAATTTAAAATCCTCCTTCTCACATATAAAGCCTTAAATGGCCAAGCTCCATCTTATATCAGAGATCTGATTGTTCCTTATGTTCCTAACAGAGCACTTCACTCTCAATCTGCAGGTTTACTAGTGGTTCCTAGAATTTCTAAAAGTAGAATGGGAGGCAGATCTTTTAGTTATCAGGCTCCTCTCCTGTGGAACTAACTACCAGTTTTAGTCCGTGAGGCAGACACCCTGTCTACTTTTAAGGCTAGGCTTAAAACTTTCCTTTTTGATAAAGCTTATAGTTAGGGTGGCTCAGGTTATCCTGAGCTATCTCTATAGTTATGCTGCTATAGGCTTAGACTTTTGGAGGACATAGGGACCCCCATTTCATCATTCTGCTTCATTCTCTCTCTGTTCTCCTATTCTGCAGAATCTGTTAGTTCAATCTCTAACCTTCTTCTCTCTCTGCTTTTCCTCAGAGTAGCTTTGCCTCATCTGTTCCTGTTTGGCTGTGACGTCATCCTGGAAAGAAACATCAGCTGTGCTGCTTCTATCAACACCCTTGTTTATAGATGTTGGAGATCGGCCTGTTTTCCAGTGTGGTCCTGTTTCTCTGACCGTGACTGAGTGGATGTGCTCTCTTCGTCCTCTGGCATGGGAGCTGCCTTGGAGCTCGTCTGCCTGGCTGCGTGTTTCCTGGACGGGGCCGCCTTTTACAGCTGCTTTTTGTATCTCTGCTTCTGTCTCCTTGAACCCCAGTCGGCCTCGGCAGATGGCCGCTCACACTGAGCCTGGTTCTGCTGGAGGTTTCTTCCTGTTAAAAGGGAGTTTTTCCTCTCCACTGTCGCTACAAGCATGCTTAGTGTGGGGGATTGTATTTGAGTCAATGAGTCAATGCAATCAACTGGTTTTCCTTAGATAGAAAACTGTGTATCAATTTGACTGTATGATCTGGTTGAACTGTAAAGTGCCTTGAGATGACATGTGTTGTGAATTTGGCGCTATATAAATAAACTGAATTGAATTGAAATTGAAATTGAATTTTAAGCTAAATTTGAAAAGTTAAATTCTAAACCAAATAGTAACTCAATCATCTTTATAAATGAATTAATGATAGAAAATTTATAAACGTTATAATAACACCTAGTATAAAAAACAGTTTAGAGACAAAGTAGTGGAAGTTAAAACCGGCTAAAGGTTCTACTTTTACTGCGCAGCAGTCATGAGTCATTTCTGAGTACCAATATATGTATATATATATAACAGTTTAACAAAACTCAGGTTATTAAAGTGTGGAAAAAGTTATTTTGATGAGATGCCAAATAAAACACTAGAGTAACCAGATGCATGGGTAACCTGCAGCACACTGTCAATCTACTAGCTGCAAAAGGGTTCTAAAGTATTTGCCTTGCTTGCCAAAAATGTAATTAAACAACAACAAAAAAGGTCAATGTTTATATTTCTGCTTTCAAAAACAGTCATTTATTTTGCTTGGAGTGCCACCTATCTCTATTAAGTTAACTCTTAAAATAGTTCTTGTTAAGCTACAAAAGCCATGTTAGCATACAACATGCAGCCACAATATCCATGTAGACCGTCTATCTAAATAACCACCTAATTTAAAGTATGTTTAAATGTAATATGCTTTAAATATTACAGGAAGAATAGCCTCTACTGTCGTAGAGAGTAATGGCAGGGCTCGATGTTAACCATTGCCCGATCGCCAGGGGCAAGTAGTTTTTATTGTTGGAGAGTACAAATTTCCGGGATTCGCTGAAAACGACCCACAAGCGTTGCCGGCGCCATCTTTGTTGTTTTGTACACATTCTCACGTGGTTTGAAAAAGCCGCGTGATTTTCCGCTTGATGGTGTGATTCAGCTTTTGGGGAGAGAATTCTGCAGAGCAGCAGCTGGATGATGAATTTAATCTATACTATAATACACGCTAGATTAGAAATTATCAGTCAGGGATTAGGAAAATAATAATAACTGTATGCCCCAAGATGGTTTTTAGACCTGTAACATATTCTCTGGGGTCTTGCCTTTATTTTGATACCAAAACAATTAAAATAAACTCTGTGGTTCTTGAGATATATTCAATTCATTTTGGGCATTTTATTTTCAAGCATATTTCTCGAAAACAGGCCTAGTGTCCAAGAGGTTAAAGCAAAGTTAAGTTTGAAAAGAATGTGCAGGAAGGATTAAAAGCATGTTAACACGGTAATGTAGGCTTGAGTTAACTATCTGACACATGCATATACACACCAGGAACCTGGAAACTTAAGAAATACTGAATTACAAAAAACATTTAAAAAACAAACATGCTTCATTGATATATATACAAAAATGAATATTAGAACTATATTTATCAAACATTATACTGGGCAAGTAAAAATTGTTTCTGGGCAAATGAAATGTGAAAGTCACTTGCCCGAAGGGGAAGTGGTAAAAATCCTTAACGTCAACCCCTGACTGGTGATCCTTAAATAAAGAAGAAATAATACCCTAGAAGTTGTAGAAATGGAAAACAAGGTAGCAGTCTGTGCAATTAGCATTAAGAAAAACAGATGTGCTGCTATGTTCTCTGCAGGTAGGAGAATTTTAAAGATGCGTGAAGATCATTTTTTATACATTTGTTTTAACTATAGTTTTTGAGGTTTTATATTATCTTAAGTATCTTACACTGTCAATCTCTTCTACAAAAAAGCTAAAAAAAAATAAAAATAAAAAATACAAACACAAAAACAGACTCACATGCAGCATTTACTATCTGTGCTGGTGAGCGTGACTCCATCCTGAGGCGAGACAGGGAAAGCTGCCCCATTGCGACTGTACTGGAGCTCCCTGTGGAGGTGGTCTAACAGGTAACGCATGAATTCATGAGCATCCTGCTGCTGATAGCCCCTGCGCCATAAAACAAAGACTTCAATTATAACTGTGCAAAAATAGCAACACTCAAGGAAGAAATTTGAGATCAGCATCAGTGGCTACATGTAGCCTCTTTATATTACCTAAAACTGGGCATAATTTTCCATATGGCGTAAAATAAGGAGTCTGGACTAAAGGCAGCCTGGTTTCCTTGCCACAGGGAACAAAGAGTTTTCCTGAACTCCTCCACCAGGGAACTGTTTAACACAGAACAACTTATTTACAATGCTGAACAGCCGGAAACAATACCACATAAACCTTAATACAATCCTGTGTAAAGCTTTCTTCAGAAAATTGGTCAAAAATAAATGTAGTGCTATGAAATAGCATATTTCCTATAGCACCAATAACAACTACTACTGTTTGTTTGCCTGGATGGCCTAAAACAGCCAACTGGTTTCACTGTTATGGAAATAAATGACAGATGAATGGCCATAAATTCTCCTTCCTGCAGAAGAGGACCTTACACACTGTTGTCCCCCTGGCTGCGGGTGTGGTACATCCTTCTTCCTGCCGTCTTACCACTCCGCAGGGCTACAGCAGGCAGCTCCTTGAAATAACAGCTGAACTGCTCGATGTTGCTGTCAAAAGAAAGCACATTTATTGAAAAGAGACGACCAATGTAAGGACATTTACAGAAAATGCATAACAACTCTTTTCAGCAATAAAGGAAGAGAATTTTCTCATCCCCATCAATTTAGTCAAAGAAGAAAGCTAAGGCTTACATATATAATACTATTTATAAATGGTAGGAAAAAAATCATAATCGGTTTATATTAATATCTTATTTTTAGTTGACGTGTTTTGATACCACTTTATAATCCTGTAGAAGTAAAGTAGAACCTGTATCGATGGAAAAACCTGGCCTTTGCGGTTTTCTTGGTTCTAAGCAGCCTCTGTAATATCCCTGACTGTGCCACAGACTGTATTAAGAAAAGGCTGACTGGTCATGGGGCTCTAGCTCTACTGGGGCAGAGCTGGTGATTTGTGCTGTAAATCCAGTCGCCCACCCACACGCCTCAGAGCAAAGTCTTACCTGAGCGACTGCAGGATGGCATTCATGAAACATGTGTTGCCCAAGTTTCGTAGACCAGTTGCTCCCACAGCTACACCATCCTGGAGAAGTTGAAGCGGAGTAATAATGTCAGAGAGAAGGAATTTATCCTGAAAGTCTTGTGGAAAAACAGGAATACATTCCAGACTACTGTTGAAGCAAATGTTACCCACATTGTCTTTTAACAGCTTGCCATCTGCAGCTGGGCTTTCTAGAAATTTCCTCTTCCTCTGTCTGTCTCCCAAAAGCAATGAACTGCAGAAGGATTAGACGGTTGTTTTTACCATACATGTAAGAAATTATTTCAATTCCAAATTATGTCAATCTTTCATAGAAATTGCAGCCAAAGGTTTTGGTAGGTGTGGTGATGGTAGAGCAGATAATGAATCAAAAGCATTTTAAGGCTCTATTAGGGAATGTTTATACTCACTTTTCTAAACTCTGGAGATTTTCTCTGACCTTCTGCACATGTCCAAGTTTGGTGTCATTGACAACAAAGTCATCACATCTGTAACTATATATAAAATACAGTAAAAGTTACAACATGAGAAAAAAACCTCTGCTGTGTCAACAGCTGTTAAATCGATGTAAAATTTGCATAAAACTATGTTTCTTATTAGAACCTCTCACCAAAATACACTGAAGTTGCTGCAATCCATGCAGACGGAATGAGAGGTTTTCTCTTTCTCCTGTTTTTCACCCTTTCTTTGACAAATCCCAGGGCCCTGGTTCTCCTCAAAGTGTTTCTTAGCATGCCCATTGACATACCTATAAAAGAGTTAGTAAGTTAACACACAGAAATGTCTATGATTATCTGACAAAATATATAAAGAACAACTAAATATCTTTATGTCACATTTGCTGAATGATTAATGGGACATTTGCCCTTTTCCTAAATGTGCCATTTTCATTTTCTCCTATCCGAAACTTCTCAGTAAGTCATTTGATCGCAACCGGTTTCCAAATTTTATTTGAATCTTGGATTGAATGTATGGATAATGCAAACATATTCCATTCAGCCTCTATATTTAAATAGTTTAAAAAAATAAGAACAGGTCGATTTTAAAATTATATTTATATGCTTATATGCTCCATATAAGAGCATTAGTTAAATGGATTGATTTATTTGTGTTTTATAACATTGTTAGGACACAAGATAAATCATTCATAGAAAATTAGCCTATTTAAAAACAGAATTTTCACCACTTTAATAGACTGTAAAGATCATTTTAATACCTACATGCTTTAAAATAAATAACTATTACTTACCCGATGACTTGCATTAAACTTAACATTAACAATTTAAATATAACTATGATGTATGCATGTATGTATAATTGGCTCAAATAAGTCACTTTGAGGTGTTAACACTATAATTATCCAACTCTAATGGTTTCTTAATAGTATACAGTTAGCTTAGTAACAGCCCTTAACAAGATGTTTTGACATCCTATCAAAATCCCAGAAAAAATATACAGTTTAATATGACAAACAAGCTGCAAATGGAAAATATCAAAAACACAATTCAATTTCAGCATCTACAGTACATTTGTCCAACTGCAGTACTTGAGGTTTTAGATAAATCAAATAATTAGGTCATTAGCAGGACTCTGGGGAGCTCTACTGCATGCTGAGGAGCTAATCCAGCCATTTGATTTAGGTGCATGGGTTGTTCTAGAGAGGGTGGCCGTGTACAGAAGACATATTATTAAATACATTTCTTATAATTATACGTGTTGACACAGAAACCGTAACTAATTGGCTTATTGAATCTATTTTCTTTTTTTTACCTTCACGGTTTTATTTCAACAGTATTTTAAAAATGAAGGGGTTGCAGTTGATTAAAGTTGACTGATACCTTCTTTATGACAGCTGTTATAGGATAATAATACACTTGGTATGTTTAAATCTTATTATATAGAAAAAAGAACAATACCTTGAAAATAATAGAAACTTGTTTTAACAGTACTAGATAATTAAATTTTATTGATCTCACGTTGGAGAAATTTACCTCTGCATTGAACCCATCCCCCTGGGGAGCAGTGGGATACCATCGTGGGGTGCCTGGGGAGCAATTGGGGGTTATGGGTCTTGCTCAGGGACCTACAGTGGCAGTCTGTGGGAGTGTGGCTCGAACTCAGAACCTCAGGATTCCAAGCTCTATGCCCTAACCATTAGGGCGCTATAATTGGTGCTCTCAATTATAAATCGAAGGTTTAGAGTGATGACAGAGGCTGTTTTCAGACATTTGCAGAGGTAGATAAGACTTTTAGGTCAGCTTTACATTCAAGTAACAAAGTAAAAACAATAATAAGAATAATAAAGTAATAAGAATAATAAGATGGATAAAGTTTGCCTGCTTTATCTGGGGTCTCCATAGTCAGAAGGGGTTATTTGGTTCTGCAAATTAATATATTAAATTATTATATATTACCTTGTTCTAGTTTTGTTTAACTGTTCTAGTTAAACAGTTCAACTGAAACATCATTAGTTCAACTTTTTTATTTTCTTTAGTCCAACTGTTTTTGATATTCTTTTTTGTTTCTGCATTTTTTTTTTCTTTTTTTTTATTTGTTCCTACTTGCTTTGATTCTGATTTATTTTACTATATTTTAATCATGTTAAGCACTTTGCTTTGTCTTTGTACTGAATTGTGCTACACAAATAAATTTGCCATGCTTTGTTTTATTTGTTTACATACTTTTTTCTGTGCCTCCAATAAAAAGAACTTGTCCCACCCTGGCCCCCTGATAAGTTAGGTCTACAACCATGACTGTTTATGTGTATTGGTCCAATGTTATATCTGAAAGTTGCAGGACTAGACATTGAGACCCCTGTCACAAAAGAACACTCTTAAGAAAAGAAAAAAAGCATTATTATAATTAGGAAAAACACAGGGAATCGGCATGATTAGTAGTAAAACACCACTTACCGCCCACAGTGAACCATCAGACAGGTCAGGCAAATCCATGGACTTTTATTCGACCTGCAAACTGAGCATAAAACAGGCAAGATGGAGCTTTAGATTGGGCATTTTTTTGTTCCATTTGCATCACAGCTTAATTGTGATTTTCTCTTGAGGCTGAGTTATTTGTACCTAAAGTACGTCTCTTAAATTGAGTTTCTGACCTATTGCTAGGATTAAACATATAAACAATCTAGCTAAATTACCTAGATAGAATTAGTAAATTAAACAAATGTGAGCTAAATGGCGTTCCTACCATTACAGCACCAGGAGGACGGTGTGCCGTTAGGGAACCTTGGGGAATCGGTGGCACAGCCTAGGTTAGAGCTCAGATGAGGACACTCCATCAGCTTCACAACTCTATGGACAGAGCAACACCAGCGGTACCAGGAGCCGGACTCTTTAAAAAATCCCAACAATACCAACGGTATCCGGATAGCTAACAATAGTTAGCCAATTATCAGACAGCAGCTATCGAAGGCACGTTTTCGCGTCCTCGCGTTAGGTAACAACCAGAGCTTGTCCTTTTTAGACTAAGAGTTCAAATAAAGGTCACCCCTTGCAGTTTCCACAAACACATATTGTAAAGTGAAACAGTAGCGATTTCTTTGGTGTTTACGCAGTAGGCAACTGCTGGCCACAAACAAATGGATATAACTCCAGGAAGTGACGTAGGCTCCACCGGCTCTCGTTGGTTTTTATCACAAAGATGAAAAACCTCCGAGAAAAATGTGTTAGCACTTCCGCATTTGTGTACAAAATATGGCTGTTTCGCTAAACTAATCGTGTGCTAGAAACAAACAATTCAATTGTGGGGGGCTTTGCTATCACACTTTGCAAACTCTGTTTTTTTTAATTAAATTTTTTAAGATTTCCCGTCATGACGTTGCGGCCTGTTAAAACACAAAATCTGTTATTTTCCTCCCATTTTTTTGAACGTTTGTAAAAATCACATCACCTTTCCACTAAGTCAAACTTGGCAGTCTAAATGAAAACTGAGTTAAAATAGTTAATTTAAAGTGAAGGACATATTTCGGACTTTCTTCAGATCTGAATGTTAACGAAAGTTACTGAGTTGTGTCACAGAAAAATGACCAAATTGAATAAAAATAGGCGAAATGGAGTGAAAATATCAAAAGAGCTACAAGGTTGTTAAAAGTTGAATTTCAGACCGCGGAAAAGTTGGTTTTACGTTGGATATTCGACAGACATTCGACAAACATTTGCTCCGGTTAATTCTCTTCTTCCCTCAGGGAAATCCTCTCTGCTTCGGGTACACTGAAAACGGAGGAAGCCGCTTCAAATGCACCCTTATCATAGACTTTACGGTATAAAAAAAAAAAAAAAAACACAGCGAGGGAAAACGGATACATCGTGTACCGACTTCCTGTTTTCAAAATAAAACTGTAGGCCTAGAAGCTATCAAAATAGATTTATCATATTTACAAAAAAATATACATATTTAGCGATTTCATATTAAAAACAAATGGTGTATCTCATCAAACCAGTCAAGTACCATGATTTCTGTTGGCGCTGTCATCATAAGGGCAGGGAACAGTCGGAGAATAACAGCACACGACTACACCAAGTTGTTTCCTTGGGCGACACGTCACACGCCACCACTTTATTTTACTTCATACAACAACATTGCACATGCTCCACAATTTATAGTCACACCCATTAATGACGTCATTGAAGAGCACTCATTAGAATACACATTACAACAATTTCTTATAGATTTTGTCTCAGTCCATCACAAGACCTATCCAGCAAAACTTCTAAAATCTACATCTATTATCTGACACGCTTGTCCCAATTGGGGTCACGAGGGGTGCTGCAGTCAATCTCCAGCAGTCAATGGGCAAGAGGCGGATACACCCTGGACAGGTCGCCAGTCCATCGCAGGGCAACACAGAGACACACAGCACAAACAACCATTCACACACACAGTCACACCTAAGGAAAATTTAGAGAAGTCAATTAACCTAACAGTCATGTTTTTGGACTGTGGGAGGAAGCAAGAGAGAACCCATGCATGCTTAGGGAGAACATGCAAACTCCATGCAAAAATACCCCGGGCCTTGTAAACCAACCAATCAGCGCACAGCTTATCTAAATATTCATGACCATTCCATTAAAGGAAGAAAACCTGTTGTTTCACTCTAGGCGGTTTGACCATGCTTGCATTAGGGCTCATGGAACAGCAAATATGCCATTTTCAGCCCAAACAATGTTACGCACCCTATTCTTATACCTTAAGGACCAGCACCAAATACCCTATAGAATCATTCTATCACTGCTTTAACTGTTTTTCATACTCACCCAATGTACAACGGCAGTTCCTGGTCCAGGTGGGTTGAAAGTGGCACACATTGCGCAACAGTTTTGTTCATCAAACTTAAAAAAAAAAGTTTAAAAAGGTATTGAACTAACATCTACCTTTTTTATTTACATGTTAAATTGCCTTTAGCAGAGGCATTTAGGAGATTAAGGGCAAGATCTCCCCTTTCCTTCTCCTTTTTTTGTTATGTGTTAAAGTCCATGTTAGGGATCTCTGGGAATGCTTTCAGCAGGGCTTTTGCAAACTGCATGTATATATATATATATATATATATATATATATATATATATATATATATATATATATATATATATATATATATATATATATATATATATATATATATATATATATACATATATATATCCATATATATGTATATATATGGATATATATATATATATATCCATATATATACACATATATATGTATATATATATATATACGTATATATGTATACATATATATATATATATATATATATATATATATATATATACGTATATATATATATATGTACATATATATATATATGTACATATATATATATATATATATATATATATATATATATACATATATATATATGTATATATATATATATATATATATATATATATATATATATATATATATATATATATATATATATATATACACTTACCGGCCACTTTATTAGGTATACCTGTCCAACTGCTCTATAACACTTAATTTCTAAGCAGCCAATCACATGGCGGCAACTCAGTGCATTTAGGCATTTAGACATGGTCAAGACAATCTCCTGCAGTTCAAACCGAGCATCAGTATGGGGAAGAAAGGTGATTTGAGTGACTTTGAACGTGGCATGATTGTTGGTGCCAGAAGGGCTGGTCTGAGTATTTCAGAAACTGCTGATCTACTGGGATTTTCACGTACAATCATCTCTAGGGTTTACAGAGAATGGTCCGAAAAAGAAAAAACATCCAGTGAGCGGCAGTTATGTAGGCGGAAATGCCTTGTTGATGCCAGAGGTCAGAGGAGAATGGCCAGACTGGTTCCAGCTGATAGAAGGGCAACAGTGACTCAAATAACCACCCGTTACAACCAAGGTGGGCAGAAGAGCATCTCTGAACGCACAGTACGTCGAACTTTGAGGCAGATGGGCTACAGCAGCAGAAGAACACACCGGGTGCCACTCCTTTCAGCTAAGAACAGGAAATTGAGGCTACAATTTGCACAAGCTCATCTAAATTGGACAATAGAAGATTGGAAAAACGTTGCCTGGTCTGATGAGTCTCGATTTCTGCTGCAACATTCGGATGGTAGGGTCAGAATTTGGCGTCTACAACATGAAAGCATGGATCCATCCTGCCTTGTATCAACGGTTCAGGCTGGTGGTGGTGGTGTCATGGTGTGGGGAATATTTTCTTGGCACTCTTTGGGCCCCTTGGTACCAATTGAGCATCGTTGCAACGCGACAGCCTACCTGAGTATTGTTGCTGACCATGTCCATCCCTTTATGACCACAATGTACCCAACTTCTGATGGCTACTTTCAGCAGGATAATGCGCCATGTCATAAAGCTGGAATCATCTCAGACTGGTTTCTTGAACATGACAATGAGTTCACTGTACTCAAATGGCCTCCACAGTCACCAGATCTCAATCCAATAGAGCATCTTTGGGATATGGTGGAACGGGAGATTCGCATCATGGATGTGCAGCCGACAAATCTGTGGCAACTGTGTGATGCCATCATGTCAATATGGACCAAACTCCCTGAGGAATGCTTCCAGCACCTTGTTGAATCTATGCCACCAAGAATTGAGGCAGTTCTGAAGGCAAAAGGGGGTCCAACCCGTTACTAGCATGGGGTACCTAATAAAGTGGCCGGTGAGTGTATATATATATATATATACTATTTTTGAAGGTTGCACTTTTAAAAAGATGAAATTGTCTAGAAAAAAAAAAGTTAAAAAAGTAAACGAACTAACATCTACCTTTTTTATTTATATGTTAAATTGCCTTTATCAGAGGCATTTAGGAGATTAAGGGCAAGATCTCCCCTTTCCTTCTCCTTTTTTTTTTATGTGTTAAAGTCCATGTTAGGGATCTCTGGGAATGCTTTCAGCAGGGCTTTTGCAAACTGCATGTATATATATATATATATATATATATATATATATATATATATATATATATATATATATATATATATATATATATATATATATATATATATATATATATATATATATATATATATATATATATATATATATATATATATATATACATATATATATACATATATATGTATATATATGTATATATATATATATATACATATATATACACATATATATACATATATATACATATATATATATACATACGTATATATCTCTTTGAACCCCAGTCAGCCTCAACAGACGGCCTTTCAAACTGAGCCTGGTTCTGCTGGAGGGTTCTTTCTGTTAAAAGAGAGTTTTCCTTGATGGGAGAGATTGCTGCAAAAATTTAACAACAAAACAAAAACAAATTGTCGCTGCAAGCATAAGCTGGAGGAGCATGTGTTGCAAGTCGATGTCTGGATGCAAATCAACTGGTTTTCTTGATAAAAACTTTTATCAAGGCTATGCTCTCTATACAGTTCTTTGAGATGACATGTGTTTTGAATTGGTGCTACATAAATACAATGAATTGAACTGAACTGGAGGGGCTCCCTTTAAGATCAATGTAAATTATTATTTCTTATATTAAACCAGATTTGCTGCTAAAAATCTACCTGGGTAAGTATCAAATTTAATAGAATGTCCAAATAAATCAAATGCTGAGACACCTAAAGAGATTAACAACGTCTTATGCATGTGTTGCACAGCTTTGTTGATAGTAATTTAACAGTCACCAAAAAGGTTTAATGTATCAATGGTAGTAAATATGGAGGGGTACGGCGTTGACATTGAATTGAAATTCATTAAACAAAATCGTTTATTTTATTGGTGCACACTGCAGTGCAAACACTACATAAAGCACAAAAGTAGCCTGAAATGCATTTCGGAAACAATACTGAGAATATTGGTTTTAGCACTAATTGAAAGAAAAACTCCTGCATATGCAAGAAAAAAACACCACATATAACAAATTCAGAGAACATAATCATATCAGAACACCACCCAACGTAAAAGCAAACTTTTAAAACAAGTAAGATTTTTATTACATATCTGTAAATGTTACTTTTGTTTGTTTTCTTTTCACAACTGCTAGGCAGGACAAGTTAATATTTAAGGCAAAAAAAACAAAAAAATTACCAAGTATCTTTTTATCTATTTAATGGAAATCTGATTTCTGTTTTATTATGATTTAAAGCTGATTTCTGAATAGTTTAAATTTCATACTAAATGTATTCTTCCTTTGATTACACACTTATACTTAAAAATGTTGGTTGAATCTGTGAGATGAGGAAAATAAGTAAACAAAAACAAAAAAACATTTGCAGGTAATATAAAAAAAACCAGAGCTCTTATTTAGAGTACAACTTCTTTTCTTCTTTCTTTTTAATGGGACTTTGAATGCAGTCTTCAGAGGTAAAATTGAGGCATTTGGTTTCAAGACACAAAAAAATTAGTTCTTTATGGCAACCAAATAAAAATAAAAAACTAAGTGAAATGTTTTGCAGGATTAGAGATTTTCTATGTCATTTCCATCCCAGCTTCCTGAAGTGGTGCTTCGCTTTTGGGGTCCTTGTTCTTCCCTCCTCCCTTCTTTTGCTTTTTTTTTCTAGAGAAGCAAGAGATAGGGAAATAGGTTGGAGAGATAATTGATTTTTAATTAATAATTAAAAATAATTGATGAACTTTATAAAAGAAAAAAAATGGAAAAGCCAAATAAGGCAGACTTACTTTGACTTAACCGTGAGGACTGTCACAGTTATTAAGATAGAGAGAACGATAACGGCAAGCAGAACTCCACAGATGATGGCTGTTGAAGATAACAGAAGTGATGTGTGAGGGCAAAATATCAAGACTATTGGCACAATCTTCAAGTTTTCTCTTGAATAAATGTATCAAATCCAAAAAAATTTATTTAGCAGCTGTGAGGATATTTCTCCCTGTCCTCACTTACCAATAGGAGTGTCTGGCTCGTGCTCCTCCTCTTCATCCCTGTCATCTAAGAAATACAGCAATCTCCTTTGAGAATTAAAGTAAAAAACACAGATAAACAACTTTGTGCATTTAAGAAAAATATCTGCTCACCATGGATGCCAACACAGGTGGCATTGCAGCTGGTTTGGTCAAAGAATCTGTTTCCGTTTCCAAAGCAGCCTGTCCAGATAAATCTTTTGCATTTGTCAAAAGCGGCGTCATAGTAGTATCTCAAGTAGAAACCGCTACATCCTCCTTTCTGATATTTGAAGCGACAGGCTTCTCTTTCTGTCAACAGAAAATACTGTCAGTTCTTTCATGGCAGTAGTTGTTTAATTAGACTTATCCACTTTATTGATGCAAGACTCACAAATATTGCTGAATATGTCACTGTTGATGAACATACATTTTCACCACTTGGTGGCGCATCTATATTACAAAATCTAGATATGTAGCATCCTTGCATTAGATGACAAAAATAGAATTCTTAAAACCTTTAAAACCTGCTGCCCAGAAAAAAAGAACCATTCTGGGATCCTTTGTGCAATATTGTTATGAGGTTTTCCTTTAGTTTCTCCTACTCAGGTAGGTTTAGTTTTTATGGTACCTTAGGTCATAAAACTCTTATCAGGGCCTCTTATACCAAAGTTCACCAACAGCACAAGGGATGTTCTTAATGTTCTTAAAGACAATCTTAGCAGCTACATTTCCTATGATTTGTATTTCCAGATTAGAGGCAAGGAAAAAGCCAAAGTTATATTCAAACCTCAAAGTGAAACAAATTTTTCTCCCCAAAAACAGCTTTCTCACCATCCATGGGGTAGTTTTCTTCTGAATTGTATGAGCAGTTTCTCATACAATCTCTTTCACTCTGAAAACGGTTGGCATTTCCTCCCTGGCCTTGGTAAAAGAAAGGCGAGCACTGGTCTTTGTCAGGATTGTAATACACAGCAAACTTAAAGGTTGAGCCTTCACCTGGATCCATGGGCAGCTTACAGAAATCTGTTGGACGATGAAAAAAGAGAGAAAAACCTTGTTTATTTTAATTTTATTTACAAAACCAGTAAAGTTCTGCTTTTGCTCAGAATAGAACATGTTGGAACAGGAACCTTTAGAAGATCTATAACTAATGTTTAACTAAGATGATCACCAGAGACCCACTCCCTGTTTTACAACAGCAATAAAAAGTCATGTACTTTTCAGCCGGTTTGCTCTCCGCAGATTTCACAGAAAGATAGCGCTTTCAAGTAGTTCTTAAAAAAAAAAAATGTATTCCTCATTTTGAGGGGATAATTACCAAAACTTACACACATTACCAAACTAACACACATGCAAACATCAAAATGTCTGGAGCAGCGTCGAGTTCCAGGCTTGGAGAAGCCCTGGAACTCAACGCTGCTCCAGACATTTTGAATTAAGAAGGCTTTCTAAATGGGAAGCAAAACATCTACAAACTTGGAAAATAAGTCCAGTCGTTTGTTGTTGTTGTTTTTTTACATTTTTGAAATGACTATTACCTGAATGACTGAGAATCTTTACAGCTTACTAAAGCAACATTAAAATCAAAGTTTTATATCTGCAAAGTGAAAAAAATGTATAACAATATTAATTCAAACTAAGTAACAGGGTATATTCAGCTCAGGTGCTGACTGATGGTTTGAAACGTCTGGTCATCTTAACAGGGGAGGGAAGTTATAAATAACATTTCCTTCAAATAAACATCCGTGAAATACTGTAATTTCAGCTTCAGGTCACAACATGCACATAACATAAAGGTACAATGACATTGTGGTAATAGCTGCTTTAAGAGCGACGTTTTGTTTTTACCTGCAAAATCGACAGATTTTTGCTGAACTAACTTGTTTTGCCCTGTTACTCCATGTCTAGAGTCTCAGCCGACCCATGCGTCAGATAAAAATAACACCCAAGTCGCATTTAAATAACCTAAGGGAAAGTTTTACTTTCAAGATTACAGTTTTGTGTAAACTAGCTTGTTCAGATTTAGGTAACAGCATAAAAACAATTACATTTCAAACTGTTTCCAAACATTTGCCTGTAATATGCTAACCTGGCGCTCATTAGGGAAAACAAGTTTCCAATTTACAAAACAAATTCCTAATTAGATCGTTGGTTCAATTTTCCTTTTTAAGAAAAAAAATCACCATACCCTGTTTTTGTGAGTTGCTGAGGTGTAGTGCTGACAGAAAAGTCCCTAAAAGCAGAAGGGCCTTCATATTGCTGTTAGTCCTTGTTCTCTCCTCACTGGACTGACAGAGGACCATAAACTACGATGGGAGTGGGTGCTTGTTATTGAACTTTGGACTGTAGTTCCCTAATGGTGACTATTTCATTCGAAACTGAAGTTGATGGCGTGCAAAATCGTAAAATCCAAGGTAGATGAAATCTTCAACTTTATCGGGTGATTTGCCAGTCCTTATACCTTTAAGGTTATTTCAAAAGGTGAATGTTCATCTAACTTTTGTGTTTTTGTAGTGGAATGCATGAAATCCAATTTTTGGAGCTAGTTTTTGGAGTTAGAGGCTCAATGTTCTTTTAATTTTCAATTTAAACAATAAAAATTAATGTAAAGAAATTCTGCCAAGCAAAATAACATGGTCTGTCCTGTACAATGTCAATAAAGCCTTTTATCTAATTCATATTTAAGTTTAAAGTTTAACTGTCAGTAATCAGGGTTTGGAACTGCTGTGTTGTGGCCTGGTGGTTAGGAAGCAGAGCATTTTCTTCTTGGAACAACTGTAAACGTCAGAGGTTGAAACTTTCACTGTCACTCTCCCAGAAACAAAAAAGTGTTAGGTAGAAATAGGAATGACAAACTTCCATACTAAGGTTAAAACGTATGTTTCTTAAGTAGGAACTTTAAGATTAATGGTTAAATCTAAGTCATCACAGCTTTCAAAGAGGTTGGAAAAAATCCGCATGTCAGGTTAAAATAACATATAATTCCAAGTGTGGCAACCTTGAAAGCAAAACTTTAATGATTAAATTAAATACCTAAACTTAAAAATTTCCCAAAGTTTGCCTTAGCATTTTAAGTTTTGCCAAATTTTCCTTTTTTTTTTTACTGTACAGTTTTACTCTCATAGAATATTTTATAGTTTGGGTCTAAAGTAAATAAACATACCAGGAATCCATCCATCCATACATTTTCTCCAGCTTAGTCCATGTCAGGGTCACAGTGGGGCCGGTGCATGTCTCCGGCCATCAACGAGAGGTAGATACGGTAAGAGGCGGGATATACCCTGGACAGGTGTCCAGTCTGTCGCAGGGCAACACAGAGACACACAAAGACGCACAACGATACACAAACACACACACCTTAGGACTATATAGAGTAGCCCGTTACTCTAACAGTCATGTTTTTGGACCGTAGGAGGAAGCCGGAGTCCTTGGAGAGAACCCACACATGCATGGGGAGAACATGCAGAAAGACTGTGGGCCGCGGATCAAACCCAGAACCTTCTTGTTGCAAGGCAAAAGTGTGTCACCTTGCAGTCTATACCAAAACCATATTGCGAAAATGTAAAAGGTAGATTTCTCTGGTCAGTTTAAATATTTACATTTCACTTCTTTTTAAATAAAATTCAGTGTATTTGTATTGCACCAATTCACACCACTTCATCTAAAAAAAACTTTACAGAATCAGTTCTATGAAATCATACATTTTACCAAAGGAAGTTCATTAAGCTTCTCTCTGAAACCTCCAGTCCGCTGTAACTCAGACTCAGACAGAAGGATCTCATTGTTTCAGAGTTACTAATAATTACAGTAAAAAACTGCTACTTCAGCACAAGCACAGATGAGTGAGTAATATTAATTAATGTGAAAGGAAAATCGTTTGCTGGTTTATAAAAAAAAAAAAAGATATGTATACCTGACATTACTGAGAGGCAGACGTGGCACCAAAACCAGCCGGCTCTTCTTCCTGTGCTGGAAGGTAAAATAAATGCTCTCTACTTACTTTTTTAGCAAGCCATCATTTATCTTTTGGTTTCAGTCCAATACAGAGTTGGAATTTTTCAAAATATAACCAGAAACAAAATAGGAAACACTTAAAATACAAGAGAAAATACAATATATCTTTATATTGTAAATGCTTTTCTATTTTATTTTATTTTATTTTTTTTATTTTGAAAATATGCAAAAAACAAACAAACAAAATCTCCACTGGTGCAACAAAATTGTAATGTTGTCTTAAGAGACGGTAATGAGCCAATGGAATGAGTGTTATTATAGCTTTTTTTGGTTTGGAAAGTGTTCAAAACTTTCTGAGAGCTCATGAGCCATGTTGTGGTTGACACATTGCAAAAGATTTCATGATGAAGAGTGCTGTGAATTCAAGATCCCTGTCCTTGATTTACCTCAGATGTCAAGGGTGAGTCAATCCCATAGATATTTCCCTGTAGAAGTGATAATGGGCTTTATTAACTAGTGGTGAAAAGGTTACTAGCCAAGCAGTAAGTTCTGAAGATTGAAAATTAAAGTAAGCACATCACAGAACAGGAATATATCAGAAGTTTAAAAGAAGAAGAAACCTGGCTTTGAAAAGTAAAAGCAAAACTTTGATATCATCAATTAATCAATCAATCAATCAATCAATCAATCAATCAATCAACCAATTGATCAATCAAGCTTAGCAAATGCATGCACATGTGTTGCATATGTATTCATATGCTTTGATCTTCTTTTAGATTTCATTGTATTGTCGTCCTATTCTTCAGCACATTTTAATGAGACTTTGTGTAAAATGCCAAAGAAAAGAATTCAAAATAATACATGCTTGTTTTTTTGTTTTTGTTTTTTGTTTATTTTTTCAATCATTAAAACAAAAATAACTGAGAAGTGTGACTAGCATTTGTGTAAACCTTCCTAAGCAAATACTTTGCTGATCTACTTATTTGGTTGCAAATACAGTATTTTTTTTGGGTTAGCTCTCTAGCAGTTTTGCACATCAAAAAAGCTTCCAATTCTTGCTTCAGATCCTCAGTAGGATTTAGATGTGGACTACAGGCCATTAAAACAGATGGAAAACTTTGCTTCCCAATGTATTTAAAATTGACTTCTGGTTCTGTTATATCAGCATTGGTCCTATGTCAATAAAATAAAAAAACCCAACAAGAGTTTTGGGGATAATGGGATGATATAAAATAAAGAGTAAAGTAAAATCATATCATTGTTGTTATATTATTTAATTCAATTCAGTTTATTTATATAGTGCCAATTCACAGCACGCCATCTCAAGGCACTTTACAGATGCAATTCAACCAGATCATAGAGTCAAACTGAATCAAAATTTTCCATCTAAGGAAAGCCAGTTGATTGCATCGACTCATTGACTTGAATAAAATACCTCACACCAAGCATGCATGTAATGACAGTGGAGAGGAAAAACTCCCTTTTAACAGGAAGAAACCTCCAGCAGAAGCAGGCTCAGTGTGAGCGGCCATCTGCTGAGGCCGACTGGGGTTCAAGGAGACAGAAGCGGAGAGAAAAAAAAGCAGAGATAAAAAGGCAACTGTCAATAAGCACCACAGGCGGCACCGTCCAGGAAACACACAGCCAAGCAGAAGAGCTCCAATCCAGCTCCCATAAATAATAGCAATAATAACTATCATGTTGCTTTACTTTATGATTAGTTATTTTATACGACGGAGTATTAGGGCCACACATGAAGAGAAAAAATATTTTTGCCATGACGAGATTAAACTCGACATGTCGACTTTAAAGTCGACATGTCGACATTAAACTCAAAATTTCGAGAATAAAGTTGAAATGTCATGTTGAGTTTAATCTCGACGTGTCGACAATAAAGTTGAAATTAGTTCAAGAGAGCCAACCGCTGCACAGGTTACATGCACAGAATCCAGAATCAGACATGCCTTGTGTAGATGATTTGGTCAAATTGTACTTTCTGTGATGATTATACAGTTATACAGTTGCAGCACGTCAAAGACTACCTTCACTCTTAAAACGCAGACTGCAGCTGTGGAGCGCGGTTGCTCTTTTCTCCAAACTTTGGAATGTCGAGATTAAAGTCGCCACGATATATCATCTTTATTCTCGAAATGGCGAGTTTAAAGTCGACAGGGCGAGTTTAAAGTCGACAGGGCGAGTTTAAAGTCGACACGTCGAGATTAAACTCAACAAGACATTTCAACTTTATTCTCGAAATGGCGAGTTTAAAGTCGACATGTCGACTTTAAAGTCGACATGTCGAGTTTAATCTCGTCATGGCAAAAATATTTTTTCTCTTCATGTGTGGCCCTAATACTCCGTCGTAATTTTATCACCAAAAATCCAAGTAAAATAATTAAGTTTGTCATTTCAACAAGAGAACTGTGCAGCTTGTATAATTTAGTGTACACATATGCACAACTGAGTGACATCACTTTGTACGGAAGAGGATTAGGGCCACTGATTTTAAAATTCTATTTCTGTGTAATATAAGAAAAGTCAGACTTTTTTCTCAGAATTGAATTTTTTTTCTGAGAATTCTGACTTTAAGCTCTGAATTCTGACTTTTTTCTCAGAATTCTAACTTTAATCTCAGAATTCTGACTTTTTTCTCAGAATTGAATTTTTTTCCTGAGAATTCTGACTTTAATCTCAGAATTCTGACTGAATTCTGACAGCTAACAAACATGTTAGCTACAAGCCGTAGCCATGTCTGCTTTAGAGACTAAACTTGCTCTCTTGTTTTAATCACCTCCTGCTCTTCCATTAATTAAATAGCATCACCGAGGACCCCTCTGGCATGTAAAAAGTCGCCTAATTCCATAATTTTTCACCAATGTGTTACTGGCCCTCCCAAACAACTCAGATCTTTGTCAGTGAAGCTGAGTGCTCCCACATATCTTCCTTCATTGTGCCCATCTATATTAAAATCCAACATTCTGAGATTAAAGTCAGAATTCTGAGATTAGAGTAAGAAATTTGAGATTAAAGTCAGAATTCTGAATTTTTTTTCCCCATATTAAACTGAAATAATATTTAAAAATCAGTTAACATTTTTTTTGCAGTGGCCCTAATCCTTCTCCATACAAAGTAATGTCACTCAGTTGTGTATATGTGTACACTAAATAATATAATCTGCACAGTCTCTCTGGTTAAAATGACAAACTTCATTGTTTTACTTGGATTTTAGGTGATAAACTAACTCAAGGTAGAAAATAATGATAAAGTAAGGCACGTGATAGTTGCAATATGATATTATTATCATAGTATCATAGGTATCACACATAGTGTCATACCTGTTATAGTTTGAATGTATTAACTTTAATGACAAACTGGAGCCACTCAGCATACAGAAACAACGTGATGAAAGTTCAGATTAGTGCAATGTGTGTAGTTACCACAGTAGATGACAGAGTGTAAAGCGTTACTGCAGTTCTAGAATGAGGTGGAGACCTCAATGAGCGCTTTCACTGCCTGCGCTTTGGCCGCTCCATGGCTGTCACCCTCCGGTGACTTGGGGGAATCAGACGACCGGTTTCGTTGATGATCTGACGTCAGTTTGCGCCAACAGCATGGTTATAAAAGGCTATCCGAAGACGGGCGCTCCAAGATCCCGGAGCTGTTACTGGAGGAGGTCAAGATGCGCACTTTGAGCTTCACCGCCTGTGTGCTCCTGCAGCTGGCTGCCCTCCGAGTCCTGCACGGTAAGCTCTGTCCTGGATGAAAAAGATGAGCGTCTGCTTAGGAAGATTTACCTTTCTGATAAAATGGGATTGGATTCGGTCTAGTGTCTTTTTTGGCATTATTATCAATTACCAGTTGCGATCTTTGAGGTTTTTTTTTTTTTTATAAACATGAAAGAAACAATAACTTACTTTATTTATTTGTCTCTTTCAGGCGCTAAATGGACATACAGGGGTAAGTCTGAATGTATTTTCACTGTAAATATCATTAAACCCCACGTTTAATATATGCTTTGTCTTATAGGATATATTTCAGTGGCCGTTGATTTTACACTCAATTCAAACTGATTTAATATCATGAATGTCTGCATCCAGAAGCAATATTAATGTACTGTATCTAAAAGAGAATATTCACATAAATCCATTTATTCCCACTCCCTACTTTATTGAGCAATCATTCATTTTCTCTCCTGTACTGAGATTCAAAATAAGTATGCATAAAAGTATTTTCAGGTTTTTATATTTAAATTTCTGAATGCAAAAATAAAAATAAATATGATCATCAGAATTTTATTTTATACGATTCTAATATCAAATGCGTTGGGTTTTTGGTGAAATGTAAGCACAAAATGAATTACATTTTCATGGAATGGTTAAAGGTTCAAGTTTAAACGTTTGCAACTTTTTGTCTTTTCAAACAGAGAAAGAGAATTTATTTCGTTTCATGGAAAATTTAATCAGAACTTAGTTTCCTCCAACTCTCTGTGTGATATAATTATTGTAGAAAGTTTTTTTTGTTTTGTTTTGTTTTCGTTGATAAATGGTAGGGCACTATAGAAGTGCAAAATGCTGGCTTCATGGTCAAAGGAAAAATAAAGCCTACTATGATTTTCCAGTGACATGGTAAGACACCTTCTGACATTGTAGTTACCTCATTTCATTGTATGGTTCTTCTGCAAGCTCTACATCCAAAACATTGCATTAGCGGTTGACTTGCTTTTGTGTCATGCCTTAAGGTCTGAGGACTTCTTGACCCAGGAGTTTGTTGCATAAACTGTGGTCACGTTGTGACCTCTTCTCTCTGTATCACTGCGTCTAAACAATCTTTTGCAATCAGTGATTAGATTGTACTGAAAACCACCTTAAAGCATTCAAATCCTTAAATAAACACTGTTTTATTTTTTATGTACAGGATTATTAGAATAAAGACGTATAAAGTGTTGCAATTTTTTTAAAGCTTTATATATTTTTATCCAGAAATTAAGACACTTAATAGGGCAGAATGGCCTGATCTGTACCGCATAAAACCATAAAAAGACTAAATAGTTACATTATGTATTTATTGTTTTTATATGCAGTAATATTCTATGCAGCTTGTCTATTAAATCACAGTAAACAACAAAAAAAATCCCATGTTTTCAGACTGCTGCTGCTACATTTCCTCCTCCCTTACATCCAGAGCCCTGAGAGTTTTTTTTTTTTTATTGTAATTTGTGAAGCTGGTAGCTCATTCTTTTTTTTTGACATGGTCTCTGCTGAGTCATACAATTTAACCCCTCAACGCTTCACCCTCTAGCTGAGGACACACAATAAATCTTAACTCGGGATGTTGATTGTGACTGTTCTGAATAGATCACTCCAAAAAAACTTTCTAACTCTCCTAATTTATGGTTACCGCTACACAGAGCAGACTGTATTTTGAAAATTACCCACAGACACATATGATTAAGCCGGCACTGCCAGGGGACCGTCAGATTTTAGCTGAAGGACAATCCGGTTTAAATTAAACAACAAATAAGGTTGGAAATTGAGCAATTATATTCATAAGGGTACATTTTTGTTGTTATTGTTGGATGGTTTTCTCTCAGTTAAACATTGAGCATTGGATATTTAGCAGCTTTGTTTGACGCTCATTGACATGTCTCTTGTAGTCAATACGCATTCATCTGAATGCCAGGCCAAAGATATCATGCTGAATCATTCAGTATTTACTATGGATGGTTGGCAAGTGCTGAATGATGAAATATCTGATTAATTCTGGATGGGTCATTATTTAGTGCCAACACTCAGCCAGTAGAGGAATATGCTTCCAGGGCTTTTCATGCAACTGTTTAAACTCATTCATCCAAAAATCTTGGTCTTGCTTGTGATTGATGATCTAATTCAAAAGCTATGAAATCAAAATATCTCAAACTTTATTTTGAAGGGCAGTGTGACTTATTACTTTTGGAGACACATCCATACAGCTGAGGTCACTTTGTGTGAGTGCATGACTAGAACAACCAGTGTATACATCTGCCACCTTGTGGTAAATGGAAACCTCTTATTAGATAAAGACGTTGTTCTCCCCTGTTTGATAAAACCATCTCTTATTAAAATTACCAGTGTCTGGATCATGTCTCTATCCATTTTGCACATTTATAGACTAATACAAGAGCATTTTATTTGTTTAAAAAAGCTCAAACTCACTTAACTTGGATGATCACATTAGTTGACTGGGTCAGTTTAATTCTTAAATATGCTTTTATTTTAACCAATTTATGTGTAGCTCCGGTCGTATAGGTTTATGGTTATGTTTTGGATTGTGCCCTACGGGAAGAAAAACACCCGCCTCTGTTTCAAATTTTAAAGTTTCCCAATAATGTATGGCAAGCTGAAAATAGAGCATAGTTTGGCATTCTCTAATCTCACTTTTTCATATCCCTCCATATTCTTGCATTAATGCCAGTCTTGTGTCATGCTTTCTATGGAAAAGGAGCCTGTTTTATTTGATAACAAAATTGATTATGAAGTCAACGTTTTGCATATTCTTGAGAGTAAAAGAGATTTAAATACATGTACTAGCTAGATATTTATAGGTAAAAAGGAAATAATGAATCATTCCTCTTCCAATTTACAACTTTGAAGTACTTTATTTGCCTATTTGATCAAATCCCAATAAAATGTATTGAAAAATATTTAAAGCAACAAAGTATATATATAAAAAAAAAAAAAGATTAGCTCTTATACTCTTGCATATCCTGTATACACCGGGAAGGTTTTTCTACAAAAACCCCCCAAACAATTTAATTTAGAATCCATTACAACTTTTTCAATGATTTATTGAACATTAAGGATTAAACATATGCTCCTCTCTGGATTTATAGACCTTGTTTTCCACACCTGCTACCTTAAAACTAATTTGAATTGATTAAAAGATTCAGATTGTGTCTTATTCCGCTTTGATTGCTCTTATAAAAAAAAGAAAAATGTACATAGCTAGAAATGAAGCTTGCAGCTGGTTCTTTGAATCGAAGCACATGTGGGCTTTCTTTTTAGGTACCTCTTCCAGTCATTAATGAATCTTTTAAAAGTGTGTAAATGGTGATGTTGCAGGACCAGAAGGAGAGCATCATTGGTCCAAGCATTACCCCTTCTGTGGAGGTGCTTTCCAGTCTCCAATAGACATCAAATCAGAGCTGCTGAGGTTCGATCCAGCTTTGCGTCCGATTGAGCTTCAAAACTACAACCTGTCACCAAATGAACAACTCACTCTGGGAAATAATGGGCATTCTTGTGAGTAAAAATCTACTAAAAATATCATCAAGTATTAAACAGTGTTGATGCTAATCTCTAATTAGGTGGAACGACCTTTAATAGAAACAGAGCAAACAATAGCTTTGTATGGTTTGATATGCAGATACTTTTAAAGTTTAAGTTAAGTTAAATTAACTCCACAAGATATTCAATAGATATGGCCTCATAGAAATATGGAGATATAATGCCTGGGCCAACACAAAAAATAAGGAGAGTAGCATCCTTCCAGTTTAGCAACTGCAATTTTCTGTAATCAGAAAATACAAAAATAAAAAAATAAAAAATGGCTCCAGATTTAGTAAAGGAAAATTCATGCCAAGGGTGTTCCTCTGCCTTGACTTGTAGCTCAGCCCAGAGAAATTGGTTTTATATGCGGTTTCTATTTATAGCCAAATTAGCAATAAAGAGAATTGCTTGCAATCAGAACACACTGTAGAAAAAAGCTAAAAAAAAAAAAAAGACTTCTTGGGTAGAGTTGGTGCTTTATTCTTGATTTTGTGAGGCTGATTCAACAGACGTCTGACACAAACCTTCAAAGATTTCATCAGGAATTTCTATGACGGTTGTGCTTAACATGCATGCAACGTCTCCCAGGTCAAAATTATGATTCAACATGAGGTATATCTGTAAGTGAACAGGTGATGGAAACGTGACGGAATGCAAAGAGTAGGTTAGTGCTTATGGTTGCTGATGGGATGGACCTTCGCACCACAAGCTGAGTGACATCCTTGTATGATGCATGTTTTGAAAAGAGCTGACACAAGTTTTTCATGCGTAAGCAGTCATGACACACTGAACATGTGGAGTGAAACAAGCAACACTTCAAAATTAACTGCATTTAATGCAGTTTTACAACCTTGGTGGCTCAGGGGCCATGCTGACTTTCTTACTTTGGACAAGGTTAAAAAGAATTCCTCTTGATAGCTGTAAAGCAGCTGTGACTCTTTTCTGTTTATTTTGATTGATTTGCAGTGCAAATATCTCTGCCCCCCAAGATGTATATCTCCAGCCTGCGTCATCGTTATACTGCAGCTCAGCTGCATTTCCACTGGGGCTCCTCCAGTCGGCCTGCAGGATCTGAACACACGGTTAACAGTAGGGAGTACGCAGCAGAGGTAATCTGATAGCATGTCCTTTTTCTCAGTGTTAATTAACATAAAAAATATAGATTAATAAAAATGTTCTGTTGATGCAGTCTCCATGGTAAAGAGGTCAAATGTCTTCACCTCTATGCAAGGGACCTGGGTTTAATTCCCGGTTACATTAGTTGCAAGAGGTTCAAACAGAAGACAGATAATTCAGACATGTCTCTGCTATAAAATCATACATAATGTACACATAAACAACCTTCTTATATCTGTTATTTCAGGTGACATCCCTCTCGACAATGATTTAACGCTTCATGACAAAAGTGACTACCTTTTGATTGGCACTGACATCAGAGACGATGACACCATTTAATGTTGATTCAGCTCATCCTCAAGAAACATGCAGTTTTGCATTGGTTGCAGTTTCCTGACAGTGTATTAAACTTCCTATCTGGCATCTTATCTGTCTCAGAGACAAGATAAAACAATGCCACTTATTACAACTTTGCATACATTTCCTTAAACAAGGAAAAACTCTATTTATTTATAATCTAAAACCTGTATTTTTGGCAGTAAGATTCCCATATTGCGTCCCACTGCTACTTTTACTTTAAACGTTCATACTTATGCTGCCCAGGGAGCCAGTGTTTTATTACAGCAGGATTTTAAAGGCTTAAGTAGAAGAAAGTTACATGCTGTGGTATATAACCACATCTGTAAAACGTATTTTGATAGTTTAGATAAAGGAGAAAATCTGGCATTACTGCTGAAATAAGATGGGAAAAAAATAAGATGTAATAAATGTCACAAATTCATTCAAAAGGGGTGGAGACCACCATACCTGTGTGCTTTTTATCATACACTGCCTCTTTTACAAGGCAGCCACATCTAAGGTGTTGAGGTTTGACTTCAGTTTTTTTCTAACATGCATCTTTTTAAAGTCTTTTTTTTTTAGCCAAGCTTTAGTACCACAGTTCCATGATGAATGGTCTTTTTTTTTAGGATGGGATGAGGAGAAATGAGACATTTCCCAGAAACAGTACAAATGCACATGTTAGTCTACACACACATTGTCATTAAATTTGCCCTCAATGACAAACTGGTCAAACTGACAGGAAATCACCATGCCAATCACTTCTTACTGACTGAGATTCCCTTATAGAATAGAATAGAATAGAATAGAATAGAATAGAATATAATAGAATAGAATACAGAGTGGATGGACCACAAAGCTATGAAAAAATATCTGTGTGGTAAGACTATTCCTTTTCCTGAAAGCAATGGAAACTTTAAATTATATATCTGGCTTTCCTTTGTGTCAGTCCAACACTGTGTTCATGTCTAGGAGAGAGATTATCATGTGCTGTTCTCTGCACTCCGACCAATTCCCTTCAGTTTTGGTCAGTTTATCTCACTTGCAGCACAAGTCACACTAGGACAGACGACTTATCTCGGGTGTGGCTTTGTAAAAGTTTGTGAACAAATATATCACCTTTTGAACATTTTTAACAAATGTCCAAACAGTCACATACTCGGAAAGTAAAGAGTTTGGACACACAGCCCTGTGGTCTGATTTTAGGACCTGTAAGGGTGTACCATCTCCTATTTGCAAAAACTCTTGCTTAACCACAAAACTGAATAAATCGGAGGCAACTGGACTTTCACTTAAAAGTACAGCTGCCTCCAATTTAAACCCATTATGTGGTTGGCATGACTGCGATCTGCACAGGCAAACCCTTGCTGAGAAGCTCCACTATCTAGAATTTTAAGTATGAAGATAATCAAAATTTAAAATCAAATTTTAATTACAATACTTTTATCTCAGATTCACATTCTCAAGTATTAAGCAGTCAACATAAAATGTCAGCCCCTTTTCTTTTGTACATTTAGTCAAAAACATTTTATGCATAAAATTAAGTAAAAAATGTGAAACACCTTATTTGTTTACAAAATATATTTAAAATTAATTGTATTAAAGAAAAAAATTACCAGAAACTAATATCTTTTTTTTACATATTTCATTGCTCTTTGCTTATGTGCTTATGGCAACCAGAAAATTAAATGAATAACATTTTGTTAGTTGATGTTTTTTAAAGTGGCCTCCTAGTCATGTACTACGCCTATAAATAAATAGGGGTGGGTATTGCCAAAGAAGTCACGATTCGATTCGAATCACAATTCACAGGCCACGATGCGATTCTATCACG